AGTAGGCCTTATCAAACCTAATCAACAATATGCAGGAAATATACTGGGTCCTGCCCCTCAAATTAAATATAACAGCAATATTTGGTAATGTAAGATGCATGTATATAAAGCCAAAGTCTTAGCTGAGAAAGATTAACCTAATTGGAATCCCATTCTCCACAGACATTAATTTTATTGGGAAATACGCCAAACTCATTTCATGTGGATGCAGATGTGGTCCTTTCGGATAAAGATGCCCATGCCACGTATCCAACTTCTAACCATAACATCCAATGCCTGTATGTAGCTTTCTACGCCAGCTTAATCATTATCATCCTTGTGTCATACATCATCAAACCTCACTCTACATTTTTAATTAATTGGTATCAAGCTCCATTGATGAACAAGCATGTTTGGGATGAAAATTATATATTCGTTTATTTCAAATAAAAATATAAAAATGCCTTCAGTTACACCCTCACTAGCTAACTTTGAAAAGCACATGGGAAAGGGCTCTAGAGAAGATTAATAATCTTGCAACAATATCATATAATAAACTATAATGAATCACTATATTCATGAGAACATTAAAGCTTCCATTCACATTGATCTGAATAGGGAATCAAGCAAGAACTTGATGGTTGGAAGAATAGATACGTTGTGGGAATCCAACTATGGAGAAATTCCAGCGTCTGCGGAGAACCTGAGCAGGCCCAGAACACCCTTTTCTTTGGAATATATCTAGCCACACATTGTTCCACAAGACTCTACTTACTAGTAACTCAACCATGGTTGAATTTGTGTAATATAAAATTGCCTTTGAGTAACGTTATTCTGATATTATATTAATAAACAAATGCGAAAAAGGGTTGGTTGGTTAATTGATGATGCATGCATGTTCCCACACTCACTTTATATACGCCTGACTCACCTTTCTTTCCCCATATATAAAACCTGCATCCTTTCTGCTTCTGTAAGACTAGCTATATAACTATGACCATTTAATTAAGATATGTTATTCCCTATACACTCACTGTCCCAGTCTAGTTGATTCATAGTAAGATTGTTGTGGAGAAGATCAAAAGGAGAAAAGGATGAGCTGCAATGGTTGTCGTGTCCTCAGAAAGGGTTGCAGTGAGGACTGCATGCTACGACATTGCCTACTATGGATAGACAACCCACAAGCCCAAGCTCACGCCACCCTCTTTGTGGCCAAGTTCTTTGGCCGTGCCGCTCTTATGTCCTTTCTTTCCGCTGTACCTGCCAACCAAAGATCCGGTATGCAATGTAACCCTACCTATATATGCATGAAAACAGTTATTTATATATACCATAAATGGGGATACACGAATTCTGTTCTTCCAACTTTCTTATAACATTGCCAATAGTACAATCTTTAAAAACATAAAATAGATTCTACAGTTATTTTACGATTTTTAATTACTGTTAAAAACAGTTATTTATATGCTAAATTATTCTTCCATAAGAACTTGTTCTTGATCAATTTAAAAAGCCGTAAGCAACTCCTTCCAATATTGTTTTGCATCACTAATCTTTCAAATAGCTAACTAGCTAGGATGATACCATAATATCATAGGCCAACCAGTCCCATATAACCAATTGTTTTATCTTTTTTAAATTATCGGCACCACAGCCAGGTGTCCAAGTTGAATAAATGTTACATGAAAAGTGCTATCAACACTTTTTCTTTCTATCACACAGTACTTTATTTTGGTTAGAATTTTTTAAAAACTGCAAAATTAGAAAAGGTAGTGATTAAATAAGAAGTGAGACACACCAAATTTATATTTTTTTCAGTAATTAACTAGTAATCAAATGTGTCTTCAAAATTTAGGGTGTGATGAAGAAGAGTATTGTCCGTGTTACTTACATTTTAAATTACAATTACCTTCCATTTGTTAAACCTGGTTCCGTTAAATTAAGATGAGATATTGATTTTACAATTATAAGTAGTTATACTTTCACTATGCAAGAACTAATCGCTATCATTAACTAGAGCACGATGGATAAGGAGCTGTAATTGTATTTACTGTTATTTGAGCGTGTCTGTGTGTGTGTGTGTTCTGAAGAAGTTTTGGAGAAAAAGTTGAGACCTGTGGTGTGTGTATGTGGCACTGGCAGCTTTGTTTCAGTCACTGCTTTATGAAGCTGTGGGGCGTACTATAAATCCAGTGAACGGAGCAGTGGGGCTGTTGTGGACTGGGAACTGGCACCTTTGCCAAATGGGTGTGGAGAAAGTGCTCCGAGTTGGTGCTGCGTTGACCCCACTCCCTCACTTCTTGAGTAGTGTAGGTGTAGATGAACAACACCATGTAACTGAGAGAGTGATGATTGGAAGTGGAATATTGTGTCACGAGGCAAAGAAGCAACATGTGGGGACACCCTCTCAGGAATCTGAGACCTCCTATTTGGGAAGTAGACCACAGGATTGTGCTCCTCAAAGTCAAAGGAACCTCCTTACACTATTCTTCTGATACCTTACAAGAATTATAAAAAAAAACCTTAACAGAGTTTGTGGGGATTGGCAGGCTTTTATCAAGCTAATGCTAGTGGCATAATCAAAGAGTATCATATTATAACTAGAGATAGAAATCGTTTTCACCATTTTAAGGGGAGAGTTACTCTTATCTAGATTAATTAGCCGGTGATTATGTGGTGTAAATGAGTTGAGTATTGTAACCTTGAATTGAAAAAAATATTATTAATTGCTTAAATTTGACTTACTAGTGGATTTAAAGGAGAACACTTAGATACATATCATATATATTGTTGGTGTTATTTTTCAATCATATTTAATGCTTCATATTGATTAATCAATGTGTTAATTAAGTTAGTTATGTATATCAAGATTGAGCACATAAAAAAACAAACCCATGTTTCTTTATTATATGTATGTTTTGTCCTTATTTAAATCCATTTTAAAACTCAAATATGACACTAAAAAAGCTTGAATTTTGTTTGTTTAGTATGTTTATAGTTTAATTAATTTTATTTTAGGAAAAAAATAAGATTACTTTTTAACATTAACAATTTTGTATTAAGTAAATATTTAATATTAGATAACAATCTAAAAATAGAAATAAACTTAATGTAATGTAAAAAAAAGACTGTTATATGTTCGAAATTTAGTAAACAAACAACTTTTTCGACTATTAAAGAAAAACTTCTAATCTTCGTACATTTGTAAACATATCTCTTACTTTTTTTTTTTTTATCTAAAAACCTTTAGAAAAAGAGTGAATCCGCTTGAGTTTTGAAAAACATTTGAAAAAAATTGCTCCCTCACGAACTTGAGACAAAACAAATATTATTTATTCTTTTGATTTTGAAAAACATTTCCGCTTGAGTTTCTACCAAAAGCTTAACACTAATCAATTAAAATTTAACCAAATATCACTTTTTAAATATATATTATAAAAAATTATATCCAAGAAATTTATCTCAGATGACAATTTATTATTAGATGATAAAATAAACAAACTTTTACATTGTATGAGCATTTTTGTTAAATTCTTATTTACATACGTAATTTATAAAAAGAGATACAAAATAAGTCTATATGAAATCGCAGTGTAAAGTTTTTTCATATTCAAATTTTGAAACTCTAACTTCAATCGCTGAAATGTCAGAATTCAGATTTTCCATTCGTTTGCTTAATTACAATTTTTTTCATCGTAATTATATTATTAGTCTCCTAATCACAGTCACCACTTAGAAGTCATGGTAAGAAATTTCACCTGACGGTGGGTTGGAATGAGAAGGATTATTCTGGGGTCCATCCTTGATTATCTTTGATGATCTTCTGAGACTTCGGTTGCATTTGATGCATCTTACCTTCGTTGGAACTGCGGTCACTGGTAGAGTAGCCAAAGCAAAATACCAGAAAAGAAGCAATGCTCTAAGAACTTATGGTGGAATGGATCTGCACTTTCTAAGATGAAAGAATAAATTAAATTATTAGTCAACTGATAAAAGGTTCTGCATGCAAGAGTGGAAGAAGCCTACATGAAAGGAGAAAGCTTCACATGCCCAAATGCTAATGCCACTATTTTGAAATATCTTAATTCATTCAAAAAGTGCATATCACCTCTTCTTGAATACTTTTACAATACCAATCAGCAACAGCATAGCGTGAGATTTCTGAGTTATGTTGTTTCACATGAAGTGAATTCCCTTCCTTGTGTCAATTATTGGCTATAAGAACAAAACTATATTAGATAAAATACCAAATGAATGAAAGAAGATACAACTCACATTGATGAATGAAATTAAACGAGAAAATTCAGGCCTACTTAACACTTTCTAAGTGCACTGAAAAATAAAATCCACTAAACACCAACATGACTTGAGAAGTTGAATACTTCATAAATGTTTAGACGGTTGTGACCGAATTAGCTGAGTATCCCTATCCAACTACTGAGTCTGAGTGTCAACAATGTTCACAACTACTGATCCTTGAAAACTGAAGTGGGAGAAGGATTTCATCAATCTGTAACTAGATGATTTCCTAAGATATTATTTTCTTTCCAGGTAAAATTAATTCATATAATGAGGATAAAATAGAGAAGGAAAATAACTCTAGGTGCAAAGGAAAATATCACCCATAAAAACGAAAGAAGAAATACGCTATATAATTAAAAAAATGCAACTTTTCTTCAGCAATAGCAAATATTTTGCCACCATAATCACAGATCAGTGGTACTGCATAAATATTGAATCATCGAGCACTCTTCATTAATTAATAAAACGAAATCAGACATGAAGCCTTGGATGAGTTTTCCTAGATGGTATATCATCCCTTCCACACGATAACTATGAAGTTATCGACAAAGATGAGATGCACAGTGCTGTCCTATATGTTATTGAAATTAAGATTCAGTTAATGCAAAATAAAGAACTAGACTCATTTAGGGTAAAATGGAATAAAATGAATTCCACATTAATGTAACAAACTGCACTTTTCTTTCCGGTATTGACTATGTTGTAAGGTGAACAAGGTATCACCAGTAGTCTAGACAAGAACAACTCCCGTCCTTAAAATGGTGAAACCGATTTCGATCTCTAACTATAATATCTCTTTGATATGCCATTGATATTAGCTTGGTAATAGCATGGCAATCCCCACAAACTCTAAGGTTTTTTATAATTCTTATAGGCAAACTTGAAGGAGATGCTACTAGTGCAAACGCTATAGCTAGCCTTTCACTGTGGTAAGAAAGGAAATCTTCCTTATCTTCTTCTTCTACATCAAACAAAACTTCTGATGTTCTTGGTTTGTGACCACATTCTTGTAATCTTCTATTTATTTCCCCAATCTTCAAATATATTTCTTCTGAAAATGGATGAGCTTTGTCACCTGTGAGAAATTCATGCATAGCTCCATTAATATCGACTAAGCTAAATCCAGGCAACTTGTCAACCCCACGATCTTTCATCTGCACCCTCACTCTCTTCACATCATTCCACCGAGCCATGTTAGCGTACATATTTGACAGAAGCACATAGTTTCCACTTGTTTCTGGTTCTAGCTCTGTTAAGTGTTTGAGAGCAGCTTCCCCCATCTCTAAGTTGCCATGAAGTTTTGCTGCACCAAGTAAAGACCTCCACAAAATTGCATTTGGTTTCATGGGCATAGCTTGTAACCTTTCCTTTGCCTCCTTTAATCTCCCAGCTCGACCCAGAAGATCGATTAGGCATCCATAATGCTCAAGTTTTGGCTCCATTCCATGAACCCCCTTCATGGACTCGAAAATCTCGAGGCCCTCCTCTACCATTCCACTGTGAGAGCAGGCAAACATAGTAACTACAATAGTTGCACCATCAGGAACCAGGCCCTCAACTTTCATCTTTCTATACAGTTCAAGTGCCCGACTCCCGTGACCATAAACTGCAAACCCCCCAATCATGGCATTAAAGCAAAACGTGTCCCTCTCAGACAGCTGATCAAACAATTGGCATGCTAGATTCAGACAGCCACATTTAGAATACATATCTACCAGTGCAGTTCCCACAAATCGATTCAGTTCAAGATTGTTCCTTAACACATAACCATGTGCCCAAGCACCCTGACTAAGTGCACCTAAATTAGAACATGCACTGATCAATGCCACAAGTGTAACTTCATTAGGCTTTCTTTGAGACAACTGCATGTCTATGAACATATACAATGCCTCTGAGGACATATCAGCATCTTCAAAATTTGTTGAGTAACTAACATGACTTGCACTTTGTGCGTAGGCAGCCAACATGGTATTCCAAGTGGCCAGGTCAGGTTCACTGATTTGATTGAACAAATATTTAGTCGCACACAATTTCCCATATTTGGCATAGAAATTGAGCAATGAATTTTGGACAAAGAGGTCATAGGGGGGTTGAAGGAATTTCAAAACATGGGCATGGAGGGGAGGACCATGTTGGAGCCATGGATCAAAGCGACAAGCCTTGAAGAGGGAGGGAAAAGTGAAGCTATTGGGTTGAAGGGTCTTGTGGGTGAGAATCTGGTTATAAAGTGAGAAGGCTAGATGAATTTGGTCACCGTGACGAGTGTATGAAGAAATGAGTGTATTGTAGAGGAAAACTGTTGGGCTATGGATACAGTTAAAGATGGTAATAGCATAGGCTGAGGAAAATTTGGAGGATGTGTTAAGGAGGTGACTGAGATAGTATGTGTGGAGTGAAAGACCAGTTGTTACCATTTGAGAATGGACTTGCTTAAGGGTGTTCAGGCTGTGGCATTTTTCCAACTTTTGGAGAATTGGGTGGTTCCACATCAAGCTTTTGGATTTCATTTTCTTTAAAATAAATCATCTTACAAAGAAACTACCAAAACCATGTATAATCCAATTGGATACTGTAACGATAAAGAATGAAGTTTTTGTTGTTTGTGTTGATAACTCGCTATCAGAAGAATCAGAACAGCTGCAGAAAAATAAACCAAAAATAAAATTATGTGGGCCGGGCTAAGTAAATGGGCTTGCTCTCTATACATATTTTTTTAACAAAAAATAATTGTAGTGAGTGTGTTTCAAGATTTATAAAATAAATAAAATCTCACATTTATTATAAATTGTAAACATAAGCAATATTCATTTTTAAGAAAATATTGATCTTTTGTTTTGTTTTCATCTACATGGTGAGAGGTAAGAAAGATTAGGACTTAGATTCTAATAATATGTTTAAATTTAAGAGAGGTAATAAAATGAAATGGATTGAAATATTATAGAATAGAATTAAAAATGTCATTCAATTATTTTAATGTTTTATATTATAATGAAACAAAAATTTCATAACAGCAATAAAAAGAGAGGAAAAAAAAACTGCATAGAATTACTTCATATAAAACTCAAATTTTTAATCAATGACTTATGTTGAAAAGGAGACATAGAAAGGGGATAGCTAGAGGTTTTGTTTTAAAATTTGATTAGGTCACCCGCATCGATCAATTTTTGAATCTTCCCACTCCAAACTTTTCAAATTTCAACAAATCCCTGACATGGCATCTGCGGTTCCCGCAGCGACGGGGCGAGAGTTGTCGAATCCTCCATCGGACGGCATAACCAATCTCCGATTCTCAAATCACAGCGATCATCTATTGGTCTCCTCATGGGACAAGGTGTGTATGCACTCTCTCTCTCTCTCTTTTCAATTACTTACTGTGCAATGCTATGTTATCCATTCCATTCATTCCTCTCTCTCTGCGTGTGTTGGTCAGAGTGTGCGGTTGTATGATGCCAGCGCCAATGTGTTGAGAGGAGAGTTCATGCATGCTGGTCCCGTTCTCGACTGCTGCTTCCACGACGATTCCTCCGGTTTCAGTGCCGCCGCCGACAACACTGTTAGACGGTCACTCACTCGCTCGCTCTCTTCTTCAAATTCAACTTTACCTACTTGTGTTGTTGTTGAATTTGTAACCTAGTTTTGTTGTTCCTTCTACCTGTGGGCGATAACTAAATTACACTTTTCTTTTTCTTATATCCAAATTACATTACTTTTCCTTTATATATATCATTAATGCGAGTTATGCGGCAAATCGCTTGCTCTCGATTTTTCACTTCTTGTGACTCTCAATATATTGGTTAGGTTTTTTTGAGTCCCAACTGTTAGCTTTAATTCTTCAGAAGATGCACTTAAAATTATGAGTTATGCGGTTTTAAAACTTGGTTTTATATTGTGAAGTCCAACATTTGATAATATTATGTTCGAAGTAAACTGCCATGGCATTGGAAATTTTGTTTCTTTACTATTTTGTTTAAAATATCACTTTTTTTAGAGAGATTAATATGTTTCACATGGAAGATCATAATGTGAAAAAATTTCGATATTCGTGACTTTCCAGACTATTAGATAGTTTTGAATTCCAACCATCCGTTTTGGAACTTCAGAAAATATGACGAAGATTATTAGTTAAGCTCCAACCCCGCAATTATGTGTATATAAAACATCATTTTATCTTCTAAATTCCAAATTTTATAGTACAAAGTTCAAAATTAATTGTCAGTGACATTAAAAGTTGCATCAAGAAAAAACACCCCTTGGGAGAGGCTTGTTTGTAATTGCTGGTTACCACTCTCTAGATCGGTTTACATTTAGAATGGATTAAAATTTAAGACATTTAACCCCTATGGAGTGGGAAATGTAATTGCTAAAATAAGGGAAGGTAATGTGTATTTTGAACATTTCTGAGGGGAAAGAGGGCATTCATATCTAAGTAGAGGGGAAAGTAACTCACCCTTTATATTATCATGCTCCAGGCTTGTCTTCAGCTCTAATAAAGAAGATATTCTGGGGAGGCATGATGCACCTGTTCGTTGTATTGAGTACTCGTACGCTGCAGGTCTCTCCTCTCTATGTCTATAATGCTGACCTCATCTCATCTCTGTTACTGTGTCACTTAATTCATTACTCTAAAGGATATTTACCTCTATCTTGTCTGTCACTATAGGGCAATTGATCACTGGTAGTTGGGACAAAACCCTGAAATGTTGGGACCCAAGAGGCGCCAGTGGGCAGGAGCGCACACTAGTTGGGACATATCCACAACCTGAGCGTGTGTACTCTCTCTCACTGGTTGGACATCGTTTGGTTGTAGCGACAGCTGGAAGACATGTTAATATCTATGATTTGAGGAACATGTCTCAACCTGAGCAAAAAAGAGAATCTTCATTAAAATATCAAACCAGATGTGTGCGCTGTTACCCTAATGGAACAGGTGAACTGTTACTGATTGCTATAACTCTCAATCATTTCTTTTTCTGAAGTTGAACTGATTTTTGTTATGTTTCTTAGCCAAGATAGTTGTTATTCTTCATACTTATAACTGCTTTCTGCAGGATATGCACTTAGTTCTGTTGAGGGTCGGGTTGCCATGGAATTCTTTGACCTCTCGGAGGCTAGTCAAGCAAAAAAGTATCCATTTCTCTCTATACGCATACGTTCTCCATTTCTAAAATTACTGGGTTGTAATTATTTTGAAGTTATTGTCCACGCATATTAAGTGCTTACGAAAATAGCATATGTTCACTAACTTGTACCTATTAATGACCTCTGCCTAACCTTCATGCAGATATGCTTTCAAGTGTCACAGAAAATCGGAAGCTGGAAGGGACATAGTCTATCCTGTAAATGCAATTGCATTCCACCCCATGTAAGTGCTGTCACCTGGATTTCATCATCTCCATGAATAATGAGACACTCTAACAAGTATTTTAAATTGCTTGCTTAGTTATTTCTCTACTAGGTGGGAGCCTCGTACAGAGTCACCATTTTTATATTAAGAAAAATTTGTTGTTTAGTTATTTTTCATCCGAAGGAGGGAGAATTGATGTTTTTAACAGATGTATTTTTGAGCAGAAATAGATATGGTATATGAGCATTCCCATTTTCCTTCTTTTCAATCCTTATAATTTCAAGAGCTCCAAATATGAAATGCTGTGACTACCCGTTTAATGGAGTTTGGAATTAAACGGTGTTTTCATCCATGCATGTTAGACTATCAACTCATGTTGACTTAGTAGTTATTAATTAAACGATTTATAAAAATGTCTGCAGATATGGTACATTTGCCACGGGAGGTTGTGATGGGTATGTTAACGTATGGGACGGAAACAATAAAAAGAGGCTATACCAGGTTTTATTCCTGTTTGCTTTGGGATAATTTGTGTACCTGAATTTTCTTGAGATACTTAATCAAGTTACTAAATATCCAACCGTTTTCTCTTCCAGTATTCAAAATATCCTACTAGCGTTGCCGCACTTTCGTTTAGCAGAGATGGACGCCTGTTGGCTGTTGCATCAAGTTACACATTCGAAGAAGGACCTAAAAGGTATGCTCTCTGTGACTGTTTTATCTGTCTCTTATACGAGCTAGTGTTAAGTAACTTGTTCATAATTCTTTTTACAGCAACGAACCAGATGCTATTTTCGTTCGAATTGTTAACGAGATTGAGGTCAAGCCGAAGCCCAAAGTCTATCCCAATACTCAAGCGTGATTCCTGATGGCCATTTTGAAAATAGGAATTTCTTCGTTTCTTTTTTAAGTTTCTACTGTTGCACCGCCTCCTTGTGAACACCAAAAACTACATGTAGAATGTTGTGAAACGCTAGCTTAATGTTGGGTACAGGTCACTGTCAATGTGGCTTTCCTCTGGTTGTCTTTATGCCCGTCAAATTAAATTGAAATTGATAAACACCCTTAAGTCAGCTCAGGTGCAAAATATGAATGTTTGTAGGTTTGTTCTCTAACAATGCACTCAGCAACTTTTTTCATTTTTGTATTCCTTCTCCCTTTTCCTTTGGAAAAATCTATTGCAGTCTCTCTTGGATTATAAAAATAAAATAAAATTGAAACTGACTAGTCAAGCAGAAATGTTGTACTTCCCCCTCAATTTTCGACACAGCTTTAAAAAAATTAAGATAGGGGGAGGGGGGGGGGGTGACAGATGTATCCAATCAACTGTAAATAAATAGTAGTAGCAAAACAGTTACTCCAACAGTAACGAGTGCTTTTGATCTAGTTGACGAGAATTTCATGACAATTTGACGAACAAGCTTTTAATAAATTATGTAAATGTACGGAGAAAAAATGTTTATGATGTATTGAAAAAATAAGGATACGACTTTACCCTCTGACGGGGCACTTTAAAAAGGACAATATTAGTCAGGGTGTAATAGTGGCAGGAAATAGGGCTGGTGTTGCTTTGTGGTTGGAGTGCATTCCTGGCCTTCTTCTTTTTCAATCCCAAGTACCGCTCCTCACGCTAACATGTTACAATTGCTTAAAAATGTCTGTTTGATTTTGGTGATAACGACATCTATCTATTTACAAAGACTTCTTTAGAAACTAGGTTCATTTGACGATATTGCTTCCGGACTAAGTTATCCATGCAATATCTTCACATTTTCGTTTTCATATATTTTTGCGGGGTTGGGGAAACAATCTCTTTCATCGTACCAAACTCCGTATATTTTCAATTGAGACAACATATTTCGAACAGGAAAAATTAAATAATTTAATTAGATCATGGTGAAGCAAGCTATATTGGCTTTCTTAACCGGATGGTTCTGAGTTGCATCTTTGCTATGCTGTCATGACTGCATTTCACTTGTTTACAACAACGAAGATCATAGACACCACTTCAAACGTGAATAACTGTTCTGATGATATGCAAAAGTCATGTCTCTGATTGCTAAAACTACAGTGACAAAGTACAGTAAAGACATATACCAGGGATTCAAATGAAAATCTACGCAGCAAACTACCTAATAAACAATGATTAGTTGATTACATATAGATATATACATAGCCACCTGCTTTTCCTCAAATGACAAGGTAATTGTATACAGCTAGCTAACTAGTGAGCGAAAAGCCACCTCTTTTCCTTTGTAAATTGTAATATTCAGACACAAAGATATACTACACACGACATACAAGACCACAACAGGTTTCAAAAATGTCAAATGAACACCAAAAGCCAGCTATTAACTCCATTCCGTTCTTATTACCTTCTGTGTTATATCTCCACCCCGTGGAAAATAAAAGGCTGGGAGTAGTGTTAGCATTAAGAGTGAGCAGTCAAATAAGATCAGTTCTACACACGTGTTGTCAGGCAGCTGGAAGTTGGCGCACGTGAAAGTTGTAACATATGTGTTCTTAAGCTACAATCCTTGACCTGCCATATTTATTAGATTCAAAATAGCAATAAGAATATTGATACAGCCCGTATGGGATAGCTTCAAGCAAACATGAATTACCTGCATGCCTGCTAACGAGGACAAAAACTCCTTGCAATGTTCAAGCAAAAACCTTTCTTTTGAGGTCACCTTTAGGATTTCCGCCACCAAGCAGTTAGTTTCTTCCACCTGCTAGAAGCTCAATTTGTTCAAATATACTACCAGAAGTGCAAAGAAATGCTTATCTGTAACCCAAAAGCCAATTCCCCCCAAGTAGTTGCCTTCCATGGAACTAAATGAGCAAGTCAGTGACTGGTCTAGAGCAACACTTTTCTGAATTAAACAAGGTTTAAATGGGGTTCTAATCAGTGATTTTGCTACGATTTGGTTGTTTAGAGCTAAATGGTGTTGAATGGCCCATGTAATTCACCATTTCCAGTGAGCTTAGATGTTACATTTTATCTATCATTTTCATCATATTAGATGAAAAGTTGACCACAGAGAGCAAAACAATATGAACCAAAGCGATAATGGATAGGTTTTAGTGCACCTATATTCTTATCCAAGAAATAGCTCAAGGAACCATACTTCAACAAATTCAATAAAGAATGTGAAAGTTCAAAACAGGTTAAAGAAAATGCAACAGTCAAGCTAATTAATAACACATCTGGACAAAAAAGGAAGAAGATCTTAATAACAAAAAAGACGTTGCATTGCAGCCTCACATCAAACAGAGTGTGTGTCAAAAAGTTTAGGTTAAAGAAGTGTCAAATGTTAAATTTAATATTTGTTTCAAAAAAAAGTTCAAAGAATTTACAGAAAAAAGAAAAAGAAAAAGAAAACTTCAAGTGGCTTCACACAAGACTGCAACAATTAAAGTTTAACTTCAACACATACCAAATATCAAACAGAAGTCCGAAAAATAAATTATAAATATATTGGTTTCATCCAGACGTTGCACATCTAAACTGATAATTAAAACATCACTGTACCTTGTAAAAAAAAATACAGAAGATATGAAAAATCACCTTTGAAGAAAGAGAGTATATTGAGGATGCCATTGCCTGCATCACATCAACTGCTGACCCCAAAGCATCCTTTAGATTTGGTACATCAGCCTGATAAAGAATAACAGTTTAAAATTTGATGGTCTACTTAAATAGTGCAAAGTATCCAAAAAGACAAAAAAGAAAAGTAGCACATACTATTGCTTTTTCAACAACTGGAAGACGGAGTGTACTAGCCTTCAAAGCTTCAGTTGCTCCAAGCAAAGAACTGGAGTGATCTCTATCTAGAAGGGCCAATTCCTCCAAATAAGATATCTATACCCAAGCACAATAAACTTTGATTATGACTAACAGTAATGATCATAATACTAGAAGTAACTGATCAATTGAATAGATGAATGCTGATTGTGACTCTCAACTCCAGTAAGTATAGCATTTAAGTCTTATAAGATGCTTGGAAGTAACAATATCAAATTGCTAAAATATTATCAAATAGTCAACTTTGCATAAAGTTATAAACAGGTCAGTCACTTCAACAACAAGCAATTATTTATAAACACAAAAGCAGTACAGATTAAAATGCTAATTTTATCAACCTAATCATCTTCCACAAGTTACATCATTGCACAAGAGGCATTATTTTAAAATTGAAAACGCTGAATCATACCTGTCCTTTAAGAATGGAAGTTAACTTCAACTTTTGTCTCAGTAATACAAGCTTGATTCTTTTAAGTATGACTGAATGCCGGAGTTCCGAAATTGTTACCCATGCATTCCACAAATGTCTCTGCCATAATTAAAATAGTTTAGGTTAACCTACAGTTATTAGTTGGTGAGAGTATTGTAATTGTTATAACCCAAAAGCATGTCATCCTAAACATAGTGGGAGTAAAACATTGCACAACACAAGAAATTAAACGTGAATGTACAAATCTACATGCAGAAAAACAAACATCTGGACATGTGACTCCCTCTCATGATAAAGATTTCAGAACATTAATCATAAATGAAATTGTGGAATCTCACTAAGACCTATATATTTCTCGGCCTATAAATTGATGTAAGAAATATCAAACAGTGTCAACTTCATTATATGCCTGACTCAAGATCAACAAGATATTAGGTCACGCTATGCTACCAAGAGTCTTATTCAAGATACACTTCCACCAACTACTTCTATTTTCTGTATATACACTTAAGTGTATGAGTATTCAAGACATCTTTATCCCTTTATGTTATATGCTCTTTTGGTCCACATAGATAGAAGGTTCAAGAGTTTGCATTTCCATAAAAATCAATCCTAAACTTCTCCTTGTAACAAATTTTGAAGTTGAGCAAAATATGGGACACCACTACTTATACTTGTCTACATGATAACTTTTCGCTAAACAACATGCTCATAAAGTCACTAGCAACAAAGATAACTTCTCATCAAACTTTATTCAAAGTTCACAGCTTTCTGTGACGAGCCTGCCACAATCTATCTGCAATCATAATGATATTTCTTTGAAATCTCCAAGCAGTAACGAGCAAAGATCATGGATGAGAAATACTATCTACATTTTTCCAGGTTTTGAAGCTACATTCAAGAAAAGTATAACTATAACAATTTTCACCATCTTAGTCAATCAGCATTTTGAAACCTAGCATATTTCCTTGAAAATGAGGTATTACATTGATCTTATGACCTTAGCAGCCTAAACTTCTAGCGCAGTACTTATCAAATGTAGTTTCTTTAACACATTCCTAAGCACATTCTATTCCATTGAGTGTTACAAGTGTGACAAAGACCCTGTTAATCTAAATCACTCCACAAAACACACTACACTACACAAGCACTAAACAAAGCAATTACCAAAATAGCAAACAATTAGAGACTCAATGTCAAAAACAAATAACAGCAACCATAATACTTACTAAATATGGAATCCCTTAATTAATACACATTTAACCATACCTCAGCATTTAGTTTCTGCACCATAAATGTAGCATCCGCCCTTGCATTCACGAACCGCCACTGCACATACCGATTATACAGAAGCCTCAATCTATGTGCATCAAATATCCGATCTTCCCCAATCTTCCCTCTCCGCACGTCAGCAGAGAAGCTAAGAATGGAGGGTGTGTTACCCAAACCACTATTGATGGAACTGGCAACTGTACTTCTCACCCTAGCAGGACTAGGCATCCCTCTTGATGGGGAGGATCCTGCCCAAAGCTTACTCGGCGAAGCAGGCCGAGCATTTACACTCCCCCTGACAGGAGAAGCAACAGTCCGTGGCGATAACATAGGACCATCACTATTATATCTTTTCAACTGAGCATTCTTGGTTGGCACCCCAATCCTAGAAGCAGGGCTGGTGGACAAGGGTGAACCGGGATCCTGCAGGCGGCGAAGCCGACTATTAGTTTCCTGCCAAAACCTGGCAGACACGACAATGCCACGAGGCTCCTTAGGGCCCTTGGCAGCCCCGGAAGAGTCATGTGCTCCGGAAGTGCTCCCAGAGGAAACACTATCAGTATCAGAAGCAGTGAGATCACAAGACATTGAAGACTTACTCACCAAATTCCCACCACCACCATCATTATTATTATGATTATTAGCATTAGCATTGGCATTACTATTACCCTTTAACAACTCAACTTTCCCCAAATCCAAACTCAACCCTCCTAACCCATCAAAAGAAGCCCTTCTCTTTTCACCTTCCACCACCATTGACTGCTGCAAAGCCCTTACCACTTTCCCAAACCCATTCCCAACAACCTTCTTCTTATCACTGATATCCACACTCTTGGAAAGATGATCTACTTGCCTGGTCCTCGCCGGCCACCGATGCTGATCCGCCGGCCTCGAATTCTCCCCCTTCACTGGAGTGGCCCTCCGTCTCTCCGGCGTGGCGGCTTTCCGCGGCGGCGGGGTGGCGGCGGCAGCTTTGGTCTTGCTTATGGGCAGCGAAAAGGCCTCTCCTTGAAAGGAAACCGACAGACTCCGAGTGGAAGTCACCAGAAGCTTCGCCGCCTCGGGAAGCGGCGTCGCGGGGCGTGGGCGGCGGCGGTCCACCGATTGGGAACGCTTTGGGACCAAAGGGGTGGAGGAATTGGTGGAATGAGAGAGAAGAGGGGAAGGGAATCGACGAGAAGAAGAACTTGTAGTTGATGTTGAGGTTGAAGTTGTTGTTGTGGTTGTGGTTGAAGAAGGTGAAGGTGAAGGAGAGTGAGACATGTACCTTGAAGAAACTTGTCTACCCTTCGGTCTTCTGGGGATGGTGCCATTGTTGTTGTTGTTTTTCTCAGAAGAGGTCAATGGGTCTTCCGAAATGGCAGCCACCATTTCCGAAAGCTTAGAACCTTCCCTCACATTGTCTCTCTCATGAGGGTTTCCCTTTCCTCTTCCCTCAAAGCTCAAATCTTGGCCCTGTTCTCCACCGTGCAGATCAGTGGGTGTTGTTCAGATTCAGCATTCGGGAGGAACAGTGAGTGAGTGAGAGAAATGGCGATGCAGGGTATGGGATTTTGGAGAGAAAGAGAGAAAGAAAGAGAAAGAGAAAGAGAAAGGGAAGTAGGTGTTAATTAAAAAAGAAAAAAGAAAAAAGAAAATAGAAATACAGAGAGTGTGTAATATAATGTGTAGAGTGGAGTGTTTCACAGGTGAGTGAGTCTTTGGTTTTGGTTTTGGTTTTGGTGAATCTTTGGAGAAACGTTATGTGGTGTTAATATTAATAACCCTTTGTTAATTATTCTTAAGCTTCTTCTCTATTTCTTAATATTCCTTTATTTTTCCTTACACAAATTGCGATTTTATTCTTAGTGTGTAACCTAATAATGCCATGCGTAGTTGCAAGGTGTAAATTTCTCGCTGCCGTTTACTTGCAAGGAAGGAACAAGAAAGAATGAAAAACAAAATGTATAAACTTTAAAAGAAAATGAAAATACTGCTATCACTTAACCAGAAAGAAAATAATTTAATGAAGTAAAAATTTTCAAAGTTAAAACTTCTTACAACTTAAAGTTTAGCTCATTTAAAAGTGAACTATTTTTCTCTTGTGTCCAAAAATTGTACATGGATATGTTCTTGAAATAAATTATTTTTGCATTAAATTTTTAAACTTTGTCTTCAAATCAAAGTTTTTTATTAATATATAGTAAATCAAGGTATTACTTTGAGACAAACTTGACTTTATTAGTTTACTCTCCTTTAAAGAATAACATGTCTTTATTATATTTTCTTCCTTTAAATTCAAACTCGTTTAAGCTAACAATTCTTCATATCTTTTATTTTTATAGTTTAATGCCTATAAATTTAAACACTGGTGCAATACATGAAATCATTGTTATTTCAATACAATTTTAAAATAAGTTTAAGAATAACATATATCATTCTTTAAGGAAGAAATGGCTGAAAAGTTGTCACACTCGAGAAAATGCAGTCTAATTTAATATGTAAAAGTAAAGTAGTGTTAATGCCATCATTTTTTGTGTTGTCAACATATTGAAAGAAATTTATAGCAATTATATGATTACGTTACTTTATACCAACACATAATTAAAGAGTAATTAAAAAATAAACCTTCTTTTGGTAACTAATTATAGATTTCATAAATTCTGACCATTAATGGAGTCTTTCACCAATTAGCTTACACGAGGGTTAGTGGCCATCCCTTTCATAAACCGATATTGCATCAATTTATGCTCTGTTCAGAGATTCAAAATCTTTCTTATTTCCATGGAATTCTCGGTTCAGTTAGTAGCTTGGCATTTCACAATATTTGGTAGGAGAGATTTGAACACAAAGAAACCAAGTTGGCCACATTTTTAGACTTCAATTTAACTTAAATACATTATTAGATATTTCATTTTATTCTAATTTTCTGCTTACCAAACATGACATTAATGTTGTTCCCTTCAAGTCTTCAACTAAACCACTGTCATGAATGATATTTCTCCATAGCTACAAGGAAAAAACAACAGTTCCACTTATTTATGTACACACAGATTATTCTCAACGTTCACTGGACAATTTCCACTATTTCCCTCTTATTCTTTATATTATTGTGAATTAAGCACTGATTGTGGAGGTAGCTGCCAAAATTAGTCAGTCACAAGATTCAATCCACAACTACATAATTTGTCTTGATTTAGCTATTTCTGCCATGAGGACTAGACGGTTGTCTTTTTCATGCTGGTGTGAAACATTAATTTAATTATAACTGGTATAATATTGAGTAGAGTGTTTGATCTCGTATACAAGACAACAAGAAGGCTTCACCATATATTTATTATGTGATGTTTTGTGGTTTCACGTGTGTGTATATATTGTATGTATATAATATAATAATGTGTAAATACAGTGAGATTTGACAGTGGTATGACGTGAGATAGATAGATCACTTCATTCGGAAAGAGATGAATGAGCTAACCATAATGAAAGGAGCTCTAAATCAAATACAGTGGTTGATGCTATCAATGAAATGCTCAAAAAGCTTAGGCATTATCAACCAGAAAGCCAATGTTGCCTAATTGTGATTTTTGCAAGCTAAGCTATAATCAATTTATTATTATAACTAGATTAAGATGGCACATCTCTTTCTGTCCCTCTCCATCTACTACACTCATTGCAGCCATTGAACGCATCTCATTATTTCTTAATATCAACATCCTCCACTTTCTTCTTTCTTTTCTCCAAACTTCTGTTCTCCTCCACCCTCTCTATCTTCTACTGCATTTCATTCATTTTGGTCACTATATCTTCATTCAAATCAAAAAAATACATACACATGTGCATATCTTTCAAATATCTGCTACACAACTCTCTCCTTTCTTTTTCCCTTTCCCTCGAATGTCCTTGCTTCTTGTTTGATCTCAAAGCATCTTGTGTTTAAAAATAGTTAAGATGGTGACCATTTTCTAGGCTCAGGGCTTAGCTCTTCAGTTATTTAATTAAGGGGCTCGATTAAAATTATTCCTTGTTGCTGTCACGGGTTCACAGTTATTCTACCTGAGATGTATTTATCAAGTAGTTTAAAAACCATGGTGGAATAAGGTTGATCTCAGGAGTTAAGCAATTAAAGTAATACTATATTTCAGATTTGTGAAACTTTTAAGGTAATGGTTTATTTGATAAAACAAATTAATTTCCTGAGTAATTGCATATAATTCCAAATTTTGACTAATATTGAAGCAACCTTTTTCTTTCCTTTATAGTCTAATTTTACTGACAAATTCTATTTTGTTAATTTATGAGAAAAATGTGTTTCATATTGTGATAACGTGGTATCACAACCATAATTACTTTAGCATTTGCCCATGCCTAGAGACATCTCTATCCAAAACAGTTTCCAGGTGATCCTATAAGCAATAGAACTTACAACAAACTTAGGACTTGGAGTTGGTTGAATTCTTCATTGTTTTCCTGTTAACCAATAATTAGATAGATGTTGAATCCACCCCAACTAGCTACTTCAACGGAGAAGGACACTGATTGCTCAGTCCTGAGTTTCTTGTTTACTTTTGCTGCAGATTGCTCATTGCCAAATAATATTAACAATATGTGGTTCATATTCATAATTGTGAATATTTTAAGATGAAGCCCTTACTTCAGTTAACATCCATTAATTTATTGATTGATTGTAATCCTATTTAGCATTATAAAACACTCAAAACAGAAGATATGGTTATGCTATTTGATTGACAAGTCCATGGCAAATGTATCATGGAATGATGAGAAAGGCATAATTCTTTGAAGGCATGTAACTTAAGTTACACTCAATGGAATAATTGGATAAAAAGTAAACACACACTCAAAGATGTCCGTTTATAGGGTATTAATTATCTTTGCTTCGGAAGTGATTATAGGCTTAGAGAAATAATTCTTCCTCTGTCCCATAGCTTTCCAACTTTGTTTCTCCTTTCCAACTCAACCCCACCAAGGAAAGTGTGTGATTATTCTATCAATGGGAGATAGGGAAAAGAAATGTGATAAGCAACTCTGGGGCTCAAAGTTGGTTCGATGTTGGCGGCTATTCTGCATGCTCCAAAATGTGGTAATTATTATATTAAGCAGGGGTTAATAACCCTTGAAGCCAAAGATTCAAGGTTCCTGATATTGATTTGTTGAGTTAATTCTTAGAGTACTAAGAAAAGATCCCCATGCTGTGCAATTTCCTGTTTTATTTATGGCTTAAGATTTTGGTTTTCATTCTTGTTTTGGAGGATGAGTAGATTTTGACAGTCCAATCAAAACAAAAAGAAAAGTTTTATAACATTTATCTTTCTTAATTATGTTGCAGAGTAATTGATTAACTACTCAGATTTTACATACTTTTGGCTAGAGAAGATTTGATGAAGAAATCTCAGACTAACATAATGTTGACATGTTGGAAATGTTTATGTTGCCCCTTCAAAATAGGCAACCAATACAGAGAGCCTTGTTACCCCCCCTCTTCTGTGCCTATCTTAAGGCAGTCTTGTGCAGAAAAATCACTGGGCTATAATTATGAAGGCAACATGGAATTCAGTGAAAAGTTGAATCATCATAATCTGTGAACAGTCCAATTTTTGTTAGGAGAAAGAGATCCCCGAAAATGACAGCTTACTTGTATAACGAAATATTCTTTTCAAAAGTCATGCACTACACAGTATACCATTTAAGTGGTCACCTCTTGCACGGTCGCAACTTGCTTATAATGATATAACATTGTAAGTGTATTCATTCCTTCTACTTTGATTTCTTCAACAGACATGTCCAAGAACTCAATAAATATGGATCTGAATCATCTACATTTTTATTCAAGACTACAAATTGTGGTTCCCTCTCTAATTGATACCCTTGAGCTATGTTTGGAAGCCGCGATACAAAATCATACGTAGTGGAACGAGTAGGATCATTTTGAGGATAAGATCTTCCTTTAAAACATTTTCGGGTGATACAATAAGTTGGTAGGAGTGGACCCTTTGCACGGCTATAGAACTAACTTTCCATGCTCCCAAATTAAGTGATTCGCAGTGTGGGGAACAAAATAAACACAGTACCCTTTTTTTATTCCCTTATGTTAGTTATTATAAGGACCACAGAAATCTGTTAAAAATTTATATATTTTGGATATTTACTTAACGATGATATGACTTTTTAAATAGTTATAAAAAAAATCACAAAAGTTATTACCTTTCAAATAGTTGATGTAAAATTTTACACTTGTAAATAACCATTTGTTTCTAGATAGAGATTTAATCAGTTCGCCACTCATTATCTCTTTTGCAACATCTTACCAATAAAAAGTACGCTCATGGCACTCTTGATCACTCTACCCTAACGAATCCTTATCCTCTGCAATTTTTTCAAAGTTGCAGTTTTCCATAAAAATCGGAAGTTGTTAACAAATACTTGAATTGAAATTTAATAAAGCAGAGCATAATTTCCATACTTCAGGTTTCAACCTATTACCCCACTGAAGATTCATTAAACCGAAGCAAGCAACTATTATATCGATTTTAGTTACAACATAATGATGCTTGTTAACAACAGTTAGAAAAGAACTGTTTCTGATATTGGGTGGATGCGCTGTAAAAGTTATGATGGTGATGGACAAGGTGGAAAAGCAGAAATGAAAAAAAAATGTAGAATGGCAGGTGAGGGATTCATGCAAAAAAAGAAATATAAAAAAAAAGATGCTGAGTTGCCTTCAAGAGGAAGGAAATTGGAGCTCTGCATTTAGTAGTTTGGTACAACTTAAAAGCAGGGTAACTTGAGCGTTTATGTGCCTTCATTCTCTATGGCTGTCTGTGGGTCTCAACCTCTGGAACCAACAAGGACACTGAAACCACGTTGCGGCCATGAATACCAATTTTTTTCTGCCCTTATCTAATTCAATCACACTTTCTTTCATTATTATAAATTTATGTATGTCGTTGAACAAAGTACACTCAAATTTTACTCAGCTGCATGAATTACTAATTTCCTCCCATTCAAATGAACGTCAGTTCAAAATCACAAACCACAATAGGAAAACGACTGTGCCCCGGATATGCTAGACAGGCAGAATGCCTGAAACCTAAAAAGCATTATTACAAAGTCTATTGGACGAAATATAACAACATCGCCCTGAAGTGACAACTAAAGCATTTTCTCGATTCTCTTTATATTCATTCCTTTGAAAAATAACATGAAAACAGACTACTACTTCAATTAATTACGAGTCTGTAAAAATTAACTGACTGCAGCAGCACGGCTAGAGAATTTCGGTAATTAGCATCACTCATTTATTAGAATAGATTAATCCCTTAGTCATAGTGAAAAGACGACATACAAAGATTCAATGCACTAATTCAAGGTCCAAAAGCCAAGCTTATAAAAACAAGTTCAAAAATCACTTCTGCAGTCGGATTACACTGTGACTTGGCAGCTGCGACGCAAAAATAAAACTACAATCGTATAATTCTAATACTTATGGTTCAGCGGCCACAGCAAATAAACATAAGAATTGCAAAGGCAAGTTGACATAAAATTGCAGCTGTATGATACGGGTGTATATGATGCAGAATGATTAAAGGATGAGATGAGGAAGTAAATAGTTCAAAACAATTTATATAGAAAACTTTTCTTAGATCCACAAAATTACTTCTGATAATTAATTAGATGCAAAAAAAAAAAGTCTTAAGTTTCTTCAAACATAACACCCTCAGAACATCCTAGTGCCAGAACATAATATTGGTTCGGAGGTGACAACAGCTCTTTAGCGATACTGCAACAAAAACAAAAAGTAATTAGGCCAAATATATATGAATCAAAGCAAACGTACCGATCAAAAAGCAAATAACAGTTTCACACAAGAAAAATCATATGAACATGTTAGAAGACTAAAATTGGGAATAGCACGACCAGATGAACATACCTTGATGAAGCCAATTTCCTTGGCATTGCTGCGGAAGCACTGCCTGCAGCACATAAGGCCGTACTTCCTGATCAATCCATGAGGGTTCCCACACACACGGCTGCAAAAGAAAACAACAATCACAATAAGCAATGCTAATTGAAACAAACGACCTACAAAAAAGTACGTGTGACAAACACTAAATGTACCCGACAAATCTAAACCAATGAAAAACATAATAGTTTCAAATCCAAATGTTCATTCAGTGGCAATACAACAACAATATCATCCAAAACCTTATGCGACTAAGTAGGATGGAATACATGGATCAAAACACCACATGATGACATTCACAATATCAACCCGGACTAGAACCACACCCAAACCCTAATAAAAGAAAAACGTAAAATTTGAATTAGTCAGCGAACCTACCTACCCTTAGGCCATGAAATCATCACTGAAGTTAAAACATTAAACTAATTTAAACTAAAACATATGAAGCCAAAAAAACTAAAAAACGAAATTTCGATCCATAACATGACTCCTCGAACCTAAACAGCACGATTACGCATATAAAACAAGGGGAAATAAAAAGCATGAAGTGAAACGACTAAGGGCATTCTATTTGAGATAAGAAAACAAACATTCAGATGAAAAAGTAAGACTTAAAGTGGGATTGAATCGGTGGAATACCAAGTGCGAGAACCAGGGCCGTAATTTTTGGGGTGAGAGTTCCACACGTTAGAGTGTCCCATTGCTGCGCCGCAGAAGAGGTTCCGATCGCAGTCGCTTAAGAATGTATAGGTAAACTTCGTGCGCCTACTACAGATATCAATTTATAGTCAAACACTCAAATTAGGGTTTTGCTGGGGTCAAATATTAATTGGGTAAATTTTAGCCCAACTCTCCTCGTGTTCTTTTTGTGGTCCTTTCACAAGCTTCACTGGGCCTATGGAAATTCACTATGATACTACATAAAGGATTAGCACGTATCAAAACATTGATTAGGATTCAAGTTCTTTTTAATTTACCACTTCTCTAAAAATAATATTACAAATTATCTGAATCAATAATTCATGCAAAATGTTAAAATAAAATAATTTTATAAATAAATTTATAAATATTTTATATAAATTGATCACACAATATATATATATAGAGAGAGAGAGAAAACCAAAAGTTATTTGCAAAATAACTCTATTCCTATAATTCAATGTGTGTTTAAACAATCATTTATTAGCTTAAAAGAAATATCCTTATAAATTAATGTTTCCCATAAAAGGATTTTTTATAAAAAAATATTACCGATAAGAGGTAATAGTCTAACTTTGTCAAAATAATTTAAATTAAAAAAAATGTTACTCTTAGGAATTGTTTGGTGGATTATTATTTTTTTACTAAAATCTGGAATTAGGGGAGTATGTTTCTCACGATTAGCCTACGTTTACTTTTTAAAAGATAAGATTATCAGCAAATAAACGTTTTTATGAGAATGGTCATTAGTGAAGTTTTCACAAAAACATTCATATGAATGTGAGAAACTAAAATTCTCAAATGAAAAAAAAAAAACTCAAAAAGAATCATGCTACTTTTATTAAATAATTTAATATATGACAAATTATATGTTTATAATAAAAATAATATTCTTTTTTATTTTTTAAAATTGTATAAATATTTACAGGATTATATTTTACCAAAAAAATCATTTCTTAATTATAATTCAATCAAAATCCTCAAATATATATAAAAAAAAACCTTCTATGCACGTCCTTAATAGATCAGTCAATATGTTAATAAACTAAAAAAAATTAATAAAATAATTTATTTAAATAACTAAACTTTAATAAAACCGATAAATTTAATAAGTTATAAACATTGATAAATATAATATATTTAATGAAATAAAAAAAAATATTAATTTAAGTGAATGTCATTATTTTCTTTTTTAACATAAGGTATTATTTTTATCAAAGGAAAATACATTCATGCACCGAATAAATACTATTTGTTATAACATAAAGTATTACAGATTAAAAATTAAGCATTCAATATATTAAAATTTATTTTAAGAATGAAATTTTGAAAGATGTTATTCTTAATGTAAAATATAATCATAGAAATTAAATCTATAATAATATATATTTTTGTGAATGTTGATATTATTACCTAATATGACCTAAGTGAGAATGTGGGTCAAATGAATGTGAACATTTGATTGGTGTATTAATATGATTTTTCTTACAGTATGTATATTATTTAGGAGTCAACATTTTCGTTTTAATTTAAGATCAATTTTACTAATTGGAATGGGAACGAACCAAACTTAACAAAGAGCTCAGGGTTGGGTTGGGAATGGGGTGCTTCGGAAGCACACACCTCTTCGATCATCAATTTTCGTTAGGGTTTGGTCTCTCTCGTCTCATCCCGACCACCGCGATCAGAAGAAACACACACCACTACAATACCAATTGTGCCGTGCAGAAGCTTTATTCGTAGTCGATACCCCACCGCCGTCGACCCATTACGGTACGGATCTTTCTTTCCCCTAACTTCATTCAATTTTCCAACTTCCTTCAAAATCTTGTAAGGGTTAGCGTTATTCTAATTGTGCTTGTATTTCTTGAATTCATTCATTTTTCAATTTCCATCAAAAGCATGCTGTCTTTCTCAGCAATTGTCATCTGATTTGGAATTCTAATCAGTGAATAGTTGAATTCGATAATGGTTTCTGATTGAAAACTTCATTAATTGCAGATAGGAATTAAGTTTGGGAACTAGGGGTTTAAGGAAGCTTTTGTTTTGGATTTTGCTGGGGCGTGTGAGATTACGATTGTATAGTTTGGCCCAGTGATTGTGTGAAGCAGATTATTGGGTAAAATGACAATACCAAAACGAAGCTATTCTCGAATTGACACATTGGAGCTGAAAGCTCTGATAGTAAGGAAGGTTGGTCATCAGAGAGCTGAGAAGTACTATGATCAGCTTCGAAGATTATTGAGTTCAAAGATAAGCAAGTCAGAGTTTGACAGAATTTGCATGGTGATACTTGGGAGGGAAAATATCCCTCTTCACAATCGACTCATTAGAGCGATTTTGAAGAATGCTTGTCTGGCTAAAGTCCCGCCTGTGAGAGGCTCTGCAAGAACAGGGAGTGCCTTTAGTGTAAAAGTTTCAGATGGTTTGCAAAGAGGCTCTATTCAAACGTTGTTTGGGGACGCGTTTCCCCCTTCCTTGCGGAGGATTGGCCCTTCAGCTGCTCGAGACCGTAGGTGTAAGGGCCGCCAAAATGCTTTGGGGCCGCTGGGGAAACCCCAATTTGGTCTTGCGTCTGAAGAATTGATATGTAAGACACTGGAGCAGCAGAGTGCGACAGAACTGAATTCCCTTGGCAGCAGACCTCCAATATCTGTTGAAGAAGGAGAGGAGGTTGAACAGATTGCTGGAAGCCCCAGTGTTCAAAGTAGGAGCCCGGTTACAGCTCCTCTTGGTATATCCATGAATTTTGTTCGTGGCAGTAGACGTCATTCTAATGTATCGTTATGTAGCAAAGGTTATCCAGAGACTTGTCACAGCAATGGAGATCTCCCTGACACCAGATCTTTGAGGAGTCGTTTAGAGCAAAAGTTGGAGAAGGAGGGTTTAACTGTGACAGTGGATTGTGTAAATCTATTAAATAATGCACTGGATTCATATCTGAAGAGATTGATTGAATCCTTTATGGATTTAGCTGGGTCAAGACGTGGAAATGAGCACCTAAGACAACAGAACAGACAGTTGGCAACCAGTTCAAATGTATTGCTACCTGAAAGATGTATGCAAAAAGCAACTAGATCTGCTGATGCATCTGTTTTAGATTTCCTTCTTGCAATGGAATTAAATCCACTAGTTCTTGGACCAGATTGGCCTATTCAACTTGAGAAGATTTGCGTACGTTCCTCTGAAGAGTGAAGCAGGGTATGTTACTGTAGATCAGACATTTACTGCTAGATGAAACCAGAAGGCAGAGTTAGTAATCTGCAATTGATGAAAGCTTAGAACGTTGAAGCGTTTACTTCAGCTGACATAAATTTGGTTTTTTGCCTTTCCTTAAAGCTGCACAATTTACCAAACCAATAAAATATAGTATTTTAGATTTAAAGATTGATGATCGCTAGGGAGTTAGTCATGTTAATACAAAAAATATGTGAACTTCTAGATAGGATTCAGAAGTTCATTGTTTCATACTTTTGCGAGGGTCACCATTCTTCGTGGTATCCTGTTCTTATTCTTGTTTCTATCTTCATTTATTCTCCTACTGTACTTGTTTCAGTTTAACAAATTTTCATTGAAATACAAGTGTTGCGTTGTGAGTTTTAAATTTCAACAATGCCTGATCCGTTGTATTTGGCAACAGGTTTTGGACTTGATTTTGGATTACTGCGACAACTGTTCTTACTCTTAAATTTTAACTAGATACGACAATGAACTAAAGGGCTTCCTTAATAGATGCAACAGTAGGCAAGAATCCATCCTATTTGAATGAGGGACATAGAATGTAAGAAATCTGATACATTCTGTGACCTCGTTCCCATGCAAGCCTTAATCCTGTAATATGGCAAGTAGTTCAGCGCTTAGGTTGTCCGTAAACAGCCAAACACAGTTGGACTCGGGTTCACCTGAGTAACCTGATCCTGTTGTGCATTGGATGTATACAACTCTCCCAATTTTCAGTGTAGAAGCAGTCCTACAAAGAGTTTCGCGTAGCTAAGACATTGTCCACTGTCTTGGCATGCATTAGTTGATCAATAATAGTGTGAATGACCTTACTAGCCAGCCCAACCTAGAATCTAATAACTAAATTTAAATAATTATTACGCCATATTGTCTTAGAAAGACAAGTAATTTTCCTTTTTATTTACAATATTCCAGCTAAAAACCAATTTTCTTTTACTGCTATATTTGCATTAATCTTAATGGCACACCCGTTTGCAACATAAAAGTATTTCGTGCACTTACCTTTATTATCAATATTGATACACCTTTTTTATAACATTAATATAAGTTGTTCACTTTATTTACAAAGTGAATGATATAAATTAGTTGAATACCTAATCCCAAATAAAAAACAAAAACCATATGTTACAAACCTCTTATAAAAATATAATTGACATACATACTATATTAAAGTTTAAAATAATATCATATAATTTTAAGCATTTATTAAGTAAATTCAATACAAGTAATGTGCAGTTCAATTTAGCTTATAGTTCGGTTTTCTCAACATAACAGAATCAAATTGCAAGAAATATGTTGCTTTATTTTATCATATTTTAATTTTATTAGTTTTTTTTTATCGACTTAAGGGTTTGTAAAAGCTTAATTGAACACGCGTAATTCGCTGTGTGGGACATGTTACGGTGTTTGTAAACCGGAACATTAGAGATGATGGCATATGTGACGTGATTTAAAAGTGTTTTGCTATCAATCTTTATAATCTTATGCCCCACTTGCAACACATATAATATTTTTTTCCTTACTCAAGACCACTCCATGACTTCATTTTTCATAAAATAAGCTCTAATATATTATATAATTTGAATTTAATCTCTTCTTTCATTTGTTTCCTATTCCAAGTCAACTTCAAGCAAAAAATTATTTTCATAATGTTATAGACATTTCCCTTTTCAAACCATGACCCTAAATCAACTCATAAATGTTTTTATGAAAGAAACATTATGGGTATGGAAGTTATAGATATATCCTTTTAGCATATATAATTCAATATTCTGACGGATTTTTTTTCTCATGCTAGTTAGGGATGGCAAAACGGGTCACCGCTTCATTTTGACCCGCCAAAAGTAGGCGGTAGTGGCTGACTCGATATAGTCATGACGGTCGTAGACCTTAGCCGTCCCGCCATAATTTAGAAAAATTATTTTTTTTTAAATAATTTTTTTTAATAAATTTAATAATAAGATTATTATTAAATTGAAATAATATATATATATATATTATTTCAATTTAATAATATAAATCAATACATTATTTTAAGAAATTATAATTTAGAACAATAATAAAATTTACATAATAATAAATAATAACATATATATATATATATATATATAAATAACGTTAAACTTATAAAATTTATATTTTTTATATTAAAAAATTCAAATACCTATATCTTTTTTATTTGATAAAACTTCATATTATTTTTGGTTGAGTAATTCTTATACCTTTAATTCAAGTAATAAAGATAAATATAATCAAGTGCTTAGGATAAATAAAAAGAATAGAAGAGAAGGTTATATTTTAGAAAGGAGAATATTTTCTATGAGAATGAAACTTTTTTAATTCTCTTTTTAAAATTTTTAACTTTATATATTATCTTTATAATTAATTTTATTATAATAAAAAATTATTTTTTTATTAATTAGACGGATCGTGGACTGACCCAACCCGTCCCACGGGTTGGCCTGACGGGTTGGCGGGGCGGGCTGGTAGGCTGAAAACACCAACCCACCCCGTCATATTATGGTGGGCTGGCCAGCCCGCCGGGCCTAACCCGTTTTGTCATCCCTAATGCTAGTATTTTCTTTAAGTTTTTTTTTTTTCATGTAGTCCTTCGTTGTTCAAGTAACCAAGTATATTATTTACAAAAATATTGCTAGTGGAGAAGGAAATGCTCCCCGCAGAAATAAAAATGCATTTCGATGCAGTAGCAAAATTTTAACATGGAGCTTCTACAACTTGGTCCCATAAAATAAAAGCGTTACACTAGTAAAGGAAATAAGAGGCATATAGGTTCACAAAAATGGATAACAAGTGTCTTGGTTAGTAGCATAGACATGAACAATGTGAGATCAGAATCAGCTGCAGACACTCAAAAGATTTGTCTGTAACCCCATCATTCACTCTCAATTGAGAAACAAAGGTTGAAATTGTTGATAATGCTCAAGCTGCTTTCTCTAGGCTTGCCATATACGTCATATAGACAGTCCACAAGTACGAAAATGAATTGCTGATCAATGGCTGCAAATATGAAACAATGCAGAGTGAGTAACAGAAAGTAGATTGAAAATCTTAAGGGCTGTTTATTGTGGCTTATGCTGTGCATAATCCAAACTTATTTTAAGACAGAAGAGGCTAAAAATAAACAAGTACCTGTAAATGGACAGGAATGAACCTAAAGGTGATAAAATCACATATAGGCCAGTACATAATTCCACTTAGCATAGTTGGAAGCAAATCACGTTTTAAGCGTGCAACAATCTCTGAGCCCGTTTCACCTGTCAACCAAGAAAAAAGAATTAAGAAGAAATTCAAATATGAAAGGGTTGAGTCTCAACACACATCATTTTGTTTATAAATTTTGGACTCTGTATACATATTGTTTAGTTCAAAGGAATGGAAGGGAAATATAATATGTGTATTTTATAGTGTTTTCAAAATGAGAATATGAATTAAAGGTTTCAAAAAAAGAAAACACAATGATATAACCAAGGACAACTTTAGTTTCCTGGTCCAATCTTTTTGGTTTTAAAATGACATCATTCAGTTCCAGAACATTACCCCCTCCCAGTCAAAAGAAAGAAAATAGGCAAGAAAAAGCAAAAACATGTATAAAAGGAAATTGTGTGATAAATATTATGCTAAGAGAACTGAACATACCCTGCAAACGAGCATTCAAGGAGAAGAAAACAACAGTCATGGTAGGTCCATAAATTGTCTGACCCATGACCATTTTCTTCAATGTAGAGAAAAGATCCCTCCTTGGGAAAAGCTTTGACACAAAATTGAACCAGAAATGCAGGGATGGTCCTAAAACGATCAACCCATATCCGGCCATGCGTGAAGTCCTTGTAAAATCAAAAGGTTCTGAAGATTCTTGCACGATAGTCTAACCAAATACCAAAATAAATATCATGAGTATATCTGACGACACAATGAGTATGAAGTATGCATTTTAAACCAAGTGAAGTCACTTAATGAGTTGACAATTTCTATTCAATAGAAAAAAAAAGGTCTCAAGTCTGAACGAGCATGTGAATCATATAACTTACAGAAGATCAAGTGAGTAGCAAAATCTTGTACCATATTGCATAGGAAAAATGAAATGTAAGCATTTTCAAGATTACATGTCACCAACACATAAAAATCAAGACTAAAAATATGTATCTTTTATTGATTTGAGTTTTCTCTCTCTCTCTCTCTCTTATCATTGATTTTTTTAGAAATTAATAACAATTTCAAAACATCCGCCATTTCTTTAGAGGATATGTTCTTAGTTATAGATTCTATTCAGAGAAAAGTGCCTAGAACCAAAATTGTGCAAAGGATATTTATTGACTACGCAGTCCACTGAAAGATGGTCCAAGCTCGAGTCTGATGTCAAATCAACTAACTGTACATGTAAGCAAATGATGTGATAGTGATACAAAGTAAGTGGCAACAAGTCAACAAGCAAAGATGTATCTATGAAGAGAAAGCAAAAGTTAAATTCTATGCATCCAATGCACTGCTAGGTGACTGAGAAAACAAAAGAAACTTATTAACTTAATGTATTATCCAAATGTTAAATAGGTGCACACTGACATCTCTTAAGGAAAACAATTAACTATCTAGCATCTCTGAAGGAAAAAAATTAACTATCTATGTGTCAAAAAGAAATATCAATAAGAAAATTAGATAATACAATTTTTTTCAGGTTTTACACAGGTATCCTCCATGAGGCAGTCTTAGTCAAGCACTAAGTGTAGGTATCACTTTCAGTGGGGATTTCCACCATAGCTCTCCACTTCAGAAAAGACCAACCAACCACATTCCTTATATCCAAATCCCAAGGATAATAAAAACTACAAATTGAATGTTGAATTGCCAAAAAAAATCACTTATTCCAGGATATTCAAGACAGTAGGAACTACCTCAGATAATTTTATTGAAAAAAATCATATTGCTAACAATTAGCAAACATCCGAAACTCTAATGGCAGAATGACAACCAAACCAAGTGTGCATTAGAGCAACAACGATAGTCATGGAAAGACAGATCAATAGAAGACTATCAAATAAAAATCCACCCCATTCCCCATTGTCTCCCCTCTAATTTTTATTTATAGTTATAGCTCTCTTTCAATATCTCCACTGTTCATGCTACTATTTAACAGTTTTAAGATGTCACAACTCCCTAAACTTCTACTCCACACAGCATGTCCAACTAATGAAAGATTCACAAGAGCAGGCCGGGGAAGAAAGAGCAAAATGAACCAGGAACTCTCACAACCATAGTTAGTTCCAAAGCTAAGGAGTTGCAAGGTTCCCATATTATTAAGATAATCTACAGACCCACAATTTAGTCTATCAACAACATTTAAACAAGGCAATACGAGAAATCCCACAATTTAGTCTATCAACAACATTAGACAAGGTTATACCAGAAATTGTCCCATAAACCCTATAACTTTTACAAGAAGTGTAAGACAACAAAACATCAACTACGAAAACTGTTAATTTTCAACACAAACAAATGCACTTCCTTTATCTTTCCTCAGTTACCAATCTTCACATTGGCTTTAAAGGATACCTGAGACGATAAATCAGCAGCTATGTAAATAAGTGAAGAAGTAACACTTTTTGTCAAAATTGGCCACGACTTGATCATCCCCAAATACCATCCCACAAAGCCAATCTTCGAGAGGGAAGTTGTAGCAGCAGACGAAGAAGAAGAAGAGGAAGAAGAGCAGAAAGATGAAGAGAACAAAGATGAAGATGAAGATGTTTCATATTCTCTGGGTTTCCTCAGACTATGCGGCAATCGAAAATAAGGTTTAGAGAGCACTGTGTTGGACAGAAAAGAAGGGGTGGTTTTGATTGGATGAATGTCACGGTTGATCAACATGAAGTGCCTCTGCATCCCCATGACATGCGAAATCTTGGCAGAGTACATTCTAAAAGCACTGCTCATATTTTCTCTCTGAGGTTTGGGGTTTTAGGAAGCTTGAACCAACAAAAGTTTGAACCTTTACCTAATGGAAACTTTGTTTTGAATGTCAAACTTTCCAATTCATGGGAATTTTGTTCAATGTGATTATCAAAACAGAATAGAGAAAAAAGGTTATTGGGGCTTTAAACCCCAACTTGTTCAGTTCTATGCAAATGCAAACATACTTTTATCTTCAGCAGAGTCCCGTGAGTAGGTGTTTATTACCGTATTGCTTTTGTAAAAATCAAAACTTTTTTTTAAAGTCAATTTCATAGTTTTCTTACAGACCCCATATTAAAACATGCTAAAGATAAATCGGATTCATGTATCAAACCACATGGATTTCAAAATTTTCGATAATAAATGTATTTAAAATTAAGTTACCAATTAGCTTGAAAATATCATAGTAAATTCATGCATTGGACTTAACTATTTTAAAACAAGAGTTTTTTTCTTTAATATATAATTATTTAGTTAAAAACTTATAACACATTTGTTACAATTGAAAATACTTTCAATCCAGTTTGGATTTATGTAATTTTATGAATGTATAAGTTTGATTTGATTCTATAAAATTTTAATTATAAATTTAATTTTTATTTTTAAAATAAAAAACTAATTAAACAGTAATATTTTATTTTATTATTTTAAATAAATAATAATCATAGTATTAATTATCATTATAATTATTTTGAAAGATATATCAATATTTTTATCAAACATTAAATAATATATTAATAATGATTAAAAAAAATAATTTTAAAAAGATCTGTAATTAAATTTATAGAAAACAAAAATTATACATTCCAAAATTAGAGAGACGAAAATGAGTTTAATCATATTGAAACTAATGTTTCATGTGAAATTATATTTTGAAAATCTCATTCTTAGTTTTATAACATTTGCAATTAATCAAAGTTTTGAATTTTTTGACAAAATCTTGAATTAGAAATTAAAAAGTATTATTATTCAAAAGCAGATAAGTTACCATGCTAGTTTTATGACACGTTTGTAACATGCCCTTTCTTTTTGCGACAGGTATATGGTTAACCTAACTCAATGTCGCAACAAAATATTCAATCTAAATTTGTTTTTGAAGAATAGGTTGCCAAAGTTGAAAAATAAAATTTTGCAATTTCGAGTAGACTCACCCTGCGTGCACGGAACATTTTCTCACATGAGTTTTAAATATGATAATATTTCTGTTTTAGCTAATAATAAAAATAATAATGATAGTATTATCAGATAAATATATTATTTTCACATATAATTAATGAACTCCAAAAAAGAAATTCATAATATTCTTTTATCACATTTTAGGTAATCTTGGATATCTATAAAAACTGTGACACACTTTCAAATTATCTCACCATATTCACATGACTATATATTCTAGAAGCTTGCAAAATTACTCCTCAATAAAATATAGCAATACTTGTTAATGATTAATCGTGGTTCCAGTCATTTTCAAAAAGTAGTTGAGTTTTTTTCAATGTAAAAATTAATAATGCATTTGTATAAAAATTGCTGAGAAGAATGCCATAAATTTAAAATTAGTTTTTCATTTTTGCAAATTTTGACATTGATGTGTTAAAAGTAATTGAATTGGTATTTTAATTTATTTTTTTTATTTTGAGAAGATTTAACTTCTTCGCCAACATTTCATGACATGCAATTTTATGCTTTGGCATGTTAACTCATCTATCAGTGGCATGTTTTTAAAATTTAAGCAGATTAAATAATATTTTCCACTAAAATAAAAAAAATTAATTAAGATTGTTAGTGTTCTATATAATTATGAAAAATATAGTATAAAATTGTTCACACACATTGATTCAAAGAAAAAAAAAATGCAGATACAGATACGCAATTCAAAACAAGTATTCACTTTTAGTTCTAGTTTTCTTTCCTTTATCAGACAATACAAAAATTTCTTCTGATTTTCATTTTTCATCAGGCAATGCAGAATCTTAGATGCAATTCAAAGCAACCAGTCACTGTTTTTAGTTTTATTTCCTAGCTCAAAACGAAGATACATTTTTTCACATGCATAACTAAACTTGTCTAGGCCTGGTAATAATGGTTCGACTCGTTTCTTTCCGGTGACATCCAATCCCAATGATGACATTCTTCTTGGAAGAAATTTAGTCGCTGAATCAAGCTCTGACCCAGATTTAGATTCATGCTCTGCAGAACCCCACCAAATATTTTCATCAGGATTTGAATTTTCAGTAATTTTCTTAGCAGTTATCTGAATTCACCTTTACCTAATGAAGGGCAGTTTGCAAGCCTAATAAAAGAAACTTTGACTGCAGCAGACACTTCTTCAGCACTTTTTCTGCATTCAAGAGTTGAGCCTCTGCATCATCACTAGGAATCCTGAAAACACCATTGTGAAAAAACAGACATTAATCCAATACACAGATTAGAAATCAACATTGCTGTTTTCAGAAAACTTTACCTGACACCACATAAAATACAATAGACGAAACGCACCCAAGTACAGCTGTTTGCAGAAAAAACATTACATGGCAGCAGCACGTAAAATACTTAAAATACAACGCAGAACACAAGAGTTTTGTTTTATTCATTCATATAATTCATTGTGGGGTGTCCACCACAATGAAGACATTACAAGTGGGGACACACTTTGGAGGTCATATACAATAATATAACAAACTCATATCTGTTAAATATAATCATCATTAGGACAATTAACCATGTCTTGGCATGCTGTGTTGATTTACATAGTAACCATCATGCCGCGCGGCCATTCACTTCAACTTTACCTGCTACAGAAAACATAGTTATTAATCATCGTATTGACTCTTGCAATACAGGATATATGTAATCATTGTTCATCAACAAGTATAAAATACCAGTCCTTGCAAGAGACTGATTTTCAGGACTATACAGTCCCTCAAGGCATCAACAAGTGCCAAAAAAACAACATTGTTATCCTCTTCAGATAATAATACTTTGATTCCTTGATTTGGCATCTTTGGTCCACCTCTTCAAGATATAATGAGATGGAACACTTCAACAGCCACAATGTTGGAGAACGCGTCTGAAAAGAAAACTTTATATTCAAACAATCAACAAAAGCAAGAGACCCGTGTTTCATTCCAAGTTATCAAAAACTCTTCATCCTTCTCATGATCTTAAACTAAAAACTTTGCAACAATTTCATCTCCAGCCGCTATCCTAGATTGACAGCCACCAACACCCAAAGCATCAACTTGAAATTTCTTAAATATTGCATGTGCATAAATTGTTGACATTTGTTTTTCCCAAGGTGATGGAGATTTAAGTGCTGGCTGTCTGTGCAATGATTCAAAATCCACAATGGCTTGCTCATCATACCTATTCTGAAGAATTATCCCATATTGTTTTACAAACTCTTTAAGGGTAATTTTCTTATGAATATATTTGTCAAAGAAAGAGTTCATACTTTCAGAGCGCTGTAGTGTAGACATCCAGCTAAAAAGGTATCCCCATGTAAGTTGGTACCGACTTTTTCCGTGTTCTCATAAAAGGACTGAACCCATATATCATCTTGGAGTTCACATATATTGACCATTTCCCACCATTCATTTGATGTTTAAAAATGTACTTGCTAAATTTTGGTAAGAAGTTGTTGTGCTGTTTGATCACAAAAGAGAGATTTTCACATATCCTATCTGGTACGTGCCAAAGAGACAAACAATGGGAAAAGACTTCTTCAATTGCTGTCTCCAAGACTTTAGTCTTCATTAGCCAAACAAATGTTGGAAAATGGTGGTTCCCTCCAACAAACGGAGCAAATTATATGGTTAAATCTGAGATAATCATTGATACTTTTTGCATTAATCCAAAATAGATTTCTTAAACTCTGCTCTTCATTTAAATCTATAGAATAGAAGAAGTTGGGACTCTCCTTTTGAACATGCTTCAAATACTCAAGCATAACTTGGACATCTCCCTCATCCAAATCCAAATACTGGCCTCTGTCAAACTGATTGTTTATTTACATCACTTAAAAGACTCGAAGTTTTAACAGCCTCCAGACTGCCTTGACATTTCAACTTAACATCTATCTGGTGCGTTCACTAACAGCATGCAAGATATCAACATTATTGTTTTCATCTAATTTCACATTTCTATGAAGTAAATTATTTTAATACCTATGAAATATTGTTACTCATTTGTGTAAACTACTTTACTTTTCATTTATACTACTATCATTTAAAAGTTGGATTAGATAAAATTATTTTCTTTGATTTATTACAATTGAGTATTTATTTGCAATATATTCTTTTGTCCTGAGTGTTGAGAAACTATTGATAGATTTTATCATAAGTCTTTATCATTTTGGAGTGTCTTTGTCCAAACTTTAGCAGATGTAAAATATTTTATTTTAAAAAATTGATTTAATTTATAATTTTTTGTATGGTTTAGAATGTTTACCAGTATCTTCTACACAAAAATTAAAGAATTTTTATCAGATTAACCTGTATATACTGGACAGGGTCCAGTTTTAGGTGGTGAGAGGTATTTTAGTTTCACTTAATATATCGTACTACAAAACTATGCCATAACGCCATGCAATCATTTTATCAGATAAACCCACATGCAAGTCTGATATTTTTAGATTCATATTCGGGCCAAGCATACATCAATAACAATGTTATTTACACACAATTGTTTTTGATTGAGAACATTCTTGCATCACTTCTTTTTTATAGTAACATAAGAAAAGCATAGATTCCAACTAAGAAAAGTGTAAAAATGGAGAGGAAATACTGATGTGCAAATAACACCACCCTTTCCCTTTCTGATACTCCCTCCCTACAGAAACTAATCTTCTTCATTGCGACTGATGTCTTTCTTCAGCATCCAAAATCATATGGAACAAGTCCTTTCAGCTCAGGACCACTAAACCGGTTATTTTCAAAACTGAAACAAGAGTAGGAGAAATATTTGGTAAATACTATATATAACCGTAACAACTTACTGAAAGCTTCAAATTTAAAAATGAAGATTTTATGCCATCATATTTGCAAATATATAGGTGTATTTCATATTTTGGATATTTCATTCAAATCAATTAGATCTCATGTATGCATGTCAAATGTTATAAAATCTACTCCTGCAGAGGAATTACTTAGGCAACGTGCCTATCTAGTGAGGATGTATAATTAGGTACAGCTTCATGAAAATTGTACAAATGAAGTACAAGAAAGCTAGCACTTGATGTTTTCTGATTTTTCATGTTTGAATCTAAGTATCAAACAGAAGAATTACCACAATTATGAGTCTTGGTATTCACATTTTTACATGATTGGTGCAAGAAAACGTGTTGTCAGTTCTGAATAACTCAACCTTGTCTTTTTCTCAAAACATGCTGGAATTGGTAAGTCAATTTTAGTTGTTAAGGAGTATGGGATGACAATCAAATAGAGTTGGTATACCTTTCCATTGGGAAAGATTCAAAGTTTCCTTCTACTGGTATTGTTCCACAGAGGTCATTATTAGAAACATCACTGCAAAATTGGAGTTCAAAATTAGCTGACAAACCAATCACAGAGGTAAATAAAAGAACAAGAATAGAACACAAAACGAAAAGAAAACTCACAGGATTTTGAGATCAGTAAGATGGGTGAGTTCTCTTGGGATAGATCCCGTCAACTTGTTGCTGTTTAGCCGCCTAATTCGTCAAAGCAAAAATGAGAAAGTAAAACAGCCAGCAATTTATACATTAGTGATAATAAAAAATCAAGAACAAAATGTCAGCAAGTTTTTGGAAAATCAACGTAAACATGCTTACAGGAATTTAAGTGACTTCAACTTTCCAAAGGACTTTGGAATCTTCCCCTCCAACTTGTTATCATACAAATCCATGCTAATTAGTGATTTCAAGTTACCAAGTTCCTCAGGAATCTTTCCTGTTAAGTCATTTCTGTAGAGCTCCCTGTAATCAAGAATTTCCAAATCTCTCATCCACCGCACAAAAAAATAAAACTTTACATACATAATTTCTCCAGCATGGGTTCGGTTCAGCTTAATTTAAAGAAACAATGGGTATACTTTTATCAGTTTCCAGAGAGAAATTGGTAAAAGAAGTGATTATTTTCTAAAAAAAAATCTGCAAACGCGTGCAAGATAGGACTAAATTAAATTGTAGGCATAGTCCATAAACCGGTACTCTCCTGACTCTAGCCTGGGACAACAATAATGTAACTAGTACAAAAAATCCAAAAATTAACTGGTTCAATTGCACTGTTTAAAAAATGTCAGATGGCACATGTTATTGAAACCTAAACAGATCAAACAGGAGCTAGTTTCTGAACTGTAACAGGCAAGGGAAGAGACCATACAAGAACTGCAGATGCTGTAGCTGGCCAAGTTCTGGGCCCAGAGTCCCAGAAACGTTAGAGTTGCCCAAGTCTCTGAAATCAAAGATTATACAACTGATTAGAAAGCCCAAACCCAATTACTGCAACAAAAAGACTTCAAAGAAAAAAAAATGATAGGGATTGGAGTCACAGGTAAAAGAAAAAAGAAAACTATGTTTCTGGACTATACTAACAGAAAGAACAAAGGGATTCTTACAAGCGAATCACATGATTGTTGGAGTCACAGGTAACATGGAACCAAGTACAGGGATTAACCAGTGTTGGGTCCCAACTCTGCAACACATTGTTGGGATCAAAAAGCCTGCTTCTCAAAGCATGCAAAGCGTTCCCTACACAATAATTTGGATCAAATCAAACTATTAAGTTAAGACCAAGCCAAGTCTGTTTTCTAGCTAAGAACAGGCCAAAGTAGATTGGTACTTTTTGAAACACAATACGCATTTAAGTGATTCCATTCCCCAAAACAAAAATTGAAAAAGGAAAACAAAACAATTGAAACAAGACGCATATGATCTAGCCATAAGAAGAGCTATGAACATTAAGTTCCCAGCTGCCATTAACTCTTGAGAAACAGAATTCAGCATCCACAACTGAGAAATGAACAGTAGGGCATACCTTCAGGGTTGGTTGAGAGGGATAGGAGGGGGTAATGGAGAAAGAGAAACAACAAACTGAGGAAAATGAAAGGTGCCATTATTCCTCCTATGTGAGCAAATTTTTTGGGGTGTGAGAGAAAGTAAGAAAGAAAGAGGAAGAAAAAAAAAAAAAGGTGAAGAGCAAGGACTAAAGAAGAGAGAAGAGAAGAAAAAAGGTGGGCCAAGTTGGCAGTGGTTGGAGAAGGAAGAGTTAGTCATGGTCAAATTATTATATTATGGTTCAAATTGGAGATGAGTGGAAAAGTCACGCATTGGTTGTGTGAGATTTTAGTGGTGCAAGTGGTGATATAGAGTCTTCTAAGCGCGTTCTGTGGGGTACCCCACCCCATCTATTGGAACTTGATGACTTATGACTTAGGATTACTTATTGGTATTATTATTTATTGTTTTGTTGTTGTTACTTGTTACATATGGCTTATGGTTACTTGAGAAAGAAACAGTGTGGACTGCAGTGCAGAATAGAGCACTAAGTACTAACCTGTCTGAATCGTGAACATGGCCATAAACGTGATTACTGATTAGTGTCTTCTTCCCACCTAACATCTCCACTAAATTGGAATGAAAGTTGTGGACTTTGTGTTTTGTACTGTGGATAATGAAGAAGGGTCAGCATAGGATGCTGAGTATCAATGGCAGTCTGCATTTGTTAGATTGGACTATTCCTCTTTTGGGAACTATTTTTAATCAACTTTCTTTCTTTCGGAACATGTACCTACTATTTTATGATTCAAGTGTTTTTTGGTTGTTTCAACTTGCAAAACTTCTACAGTTCCCCAACAAAACGCACTCTGTGCAGTTGGAATTCAATCATTCAAATTATTATGTTAATCTTACTTTCAATATCTCTACCCGCAGTTTAATCTTTGCATGCACACAACTTTAATGTACATACATTTAACCACTTCAAAGAATCACTTCCTAATTTTGTGGGTAAATTTTCATAAATCGATTAGTTTACTAATTTTCATAAATTTTTTTTCTTTTCAAAATTTGTGATATACTGTGTAATGCATACATGAGTGACCCGTGATACATACGGAATCAAGTTACTCGTTTTTCATTTTGGTGTAAATTATAAATGTTAGTAAAAAAAAATCTGTTTTTACAATAAAAATAAATAAATAATGTTATCATAAATAAAAAAGTACATAGTTTTAGATCATCCCAGGAAAAAAAAATCTTTTGATTTAGAAGTGGAGACTTGAAACTGAAAAAAAATAAGAACCCATATGTAAAATCTTCATCTTTCAAACAAGAAAAGATTATGCAAGTTAGACGGTGAAAGGAATCTTCTTTCTGTCAATCTTCTTCACACGCACGATTTTCCTTTGTCATGGTAAAAAATATAACACTTATATTAGCTACTTCACACAAAAAAAATGCTGTTGAATTTCAAATATCAGGACAAAAAAGACATCACATTTTGATTTATTCAGAAAACATTATTCTTGTTTAAAAAAATTAGAGAAAATGACAAAAACTACTAAAATAATAATAATACAATAATTAAAACAATAAATTAGTTTATATTAAAATTGTTTACTTTGAAGAATATTTTTTTAATTTATTAAATTTGATTTTTGATGAACTCTTTAAAGTAATTCATGAAAAAATGAATAGAGAAACAACACTTGAATCAGTCACAATCCAGAAAGCGTCTGAAATCAGACCTATCGAGAGTAAACAGTGTAAAAAATAATAAATGAGATTGATGTTTGAGGGTCAAATTCGTCACTTTGAAGAATAATTTATGATTATTCCATTTATATGTTTGGAATTTTGGTGAACATTTTATTTATATGATTTATGGAAAAATGAATGGAGGAAAAACCTGTGAATAAGTCACTGTTGGTTCTTCAGTGAGTAGGTGGTTGTATTGATAAGTCATAACAAGGGCCGAAAAGAATCAAATATTCACTTTGAGGATGCGAAAAGAAAATTTAATGACATGTCGAGGAAAATTAAGAAAAAAAAAGACAAATGAAAATAATTGATTGGAACTATTCATTCCTTTCTATTCGTTAAAAACAAGAACAATCTTTTCAGTGTTCATCTTTGTGAGGTCGTGAACGTGGCTTGTTCTGAGCTTGGAAATCTTGATGTTTTAATAGTTAAGCAACCTTATTCAGTGTTACTTCTATATATAATAGTTTTTTTTTATACAAGAACCCCAACTCACTTCAATGGAAAACTCTACTTAAACCACGTAAGTATAGAAAAAAAGAAAAGAACCCAATTATGCAATTTGGGTGTAGATACTCTTATGCACTTATGAAGCTGCTCAATTAGGCACTGTTTGGTATGGCATCTGGTTTTGTGTTTAGAACTTTTTGACATTTTAGATGTGAATCACGCTTGATTTGATCCAACACGATCTCATGAAAGTAAAAATTCCCAAAGATGAGAACAGAAATAACAGATTGACAGCTTTGACAATGAGAAGTGTGTACCGGGAGTTCGAGTGGTGAGGGAATCATAACTCATTCGTAATTCCAAATCAACTTCAAATTAGTTAACATCTGACATTGGCATTGAGAACTTTTTTTGATAGATAGTTTCGTTAACCAACTATAGCTGGTATATCAGAGTATTATATAGGCATGTTGTACAACATTCAATAATCACTTTTTAAGATGCGGAAAACAAGCATAGACATCAGCCTTGGGATGCTTGGCTTCAGCATGTTCCCGACACTTGACCTCAGAAGTGGTACAAATGAATGTCTGCATGCACACCTTGCACTGCACTCGTCATCCATCATCCCCGAGATTCATCAATTTCAACACCGGCCAAGGAGACAGGAACAGAAGTCATCACATTGGTAAACGAATTCAATAATTTGTCTATAAACGAAATACTTAGAACATGCTCCTTTAACACACTTTTTAAAAACACTCACTCTGGTTGAAATTTATTAGAAATCACAAAACTACTTAAGTGCATCTTTGTGGGTATACATATGTAGAAATGATTTTGTAGAGTTGATTTTAAGAGGTGAATGTTATTTTTGTTTGTACAGCAGATAATAGAAATTTGATTTTTATCAGTGGTGTTTAGAAACTTGCAATCGAAGTTGTTTTGGTTATGTAATTACCGGAACATGTTTCTATCTTCTTATTCATCAGGACAAACATAAACATTAATCAGGAGTAGACTTGGAGCAAATATAAGACTTTATTTTAAGTGTTATGCAAAGCCACTTCCAAATGCTTCAATGAGACTTGAGTCCTCAGTTTAGAACCATTTCTCCAACCCAGATCATGGTCAATGTAAAAATCATATTTGACCCATCCTAGACTCAAGTCATGTCTTACAGAGATTAATCCGTACATGTTATCAGTCTTGTTTCCTATCTAATACACCATTCTCCTAATTTTGTAGTTCTTTTAAGAAATTTTATGACTCGACAAAAGAATATGCAAAGGAGTGCTTTAGAGAATTAGTACTCCAGTTTACAACTTAAGAAATAAAACAGGCCATAGAAATTTAATTTGAACAAGTAGTAACAAATAAATTTCAGGTGGGTGAGGAAAAATAAAGTAGAGTAGCATAAGCAAATGATTAGGCGAGGCACTTAAGGACACAATTTGCAGAACCAAAGTCCTAAGGATAATTATAATTAACTTATCTAGAAAAGTAAATTGAAATAGAAACAGAAAAAAAATAATGAATGAGATTGGATGGGGGAGAAGAGAGTAGATACCTGGATGTTCATGGCCTTCTTGTTGGCCTCTAACTGGCTTCCTAAAGAATCAGAAAATAAAAAGAGAGATCTATGAGGAGTAAAGGAAAAGACGAGACTTTGAGGAAAGGAGAGAATAGATACCCTTGGAAGATTTATTTTTCTCCATGTTTCTCTCACGAGCCATCTTGGATTTCTGGCCATTGCCTCCTCCCATGGCTATAGTGGTATGATCGGAGAAGCACAGAAGAATGGATTTATGAAAGTGAGAAGAATGGGGGAGTAAAGGTAGCTTAATTATGCAGCTTTCTGTCACTGTCAACACCCTGACCTGGAATTTAAATCATCCACGTTTCCTTCCTCTCATGCCATCTCACTCTTTTTTCTAGAACCATCCTCCATATAGAAGAATAGTTTTTTTTTTTTTTTTTTTTTTTTTTTTTATCAATCAATAAAAATCATAAATAATAAATAGTGGTTGTGAGATGAGATCAGTAAGTGGAGAACAAAAAATAGATAACCAAAAGAATTTTAGGCTGTTTAATTTAATTTTAATTTTTGATTTTTGGTTTTTAAAATCAGTAATTAATTTTAAACAACTATTTCCAATAATAAGTTAAAATCATTGTTTAATAGTTTTAATTTAAAAATGATTTAGGTAAAAAGTATAATTTTTTAAATTTTAAATCACTAATAGATATAATGAATATTATTAATAAAAAAATATATTTAATATTTTTATTTTAAAAAACAAAATAGAATTTAAAATAGTTTTCAAATAAAATTTTAACTTAAAAAATAAAAAACTGTGTTATTGAAAAAAATTACTAAACAATCCTTTTTTTTCTTTTTTAAGTTTGTGTTATCCATCAATCAAATAATCAAAGTTTTAAAAATTCAAAAAATACATTTTTTTGCTCTATTTTAAACAATATTCCTGCATTACCATAATAATTTCTTACGTCTAAAGCCTAATAAAAAGTTTAGCAGTGTCTTTTTAAGCATGTACTTAATCATTTTCCATTTACATCAATGATTACCATTTTGATCACAGATTTTATATAGAGCTCATATGATATCCCAGGACAAAATATTTACCAAATTGCTAATATTTCTTATAATTTTTTTGACTGTCCGTCAAATCCAGCGAGGACAAAATCAAAGAATATGAGATGGACAGGCATAAAGTCCCTTTTGAAAGGATCAAACACTTTGTCAGAAGCTGAAGTAAAACAAAGAATGAATGAATTGTACGGATTGTTGAAATTAAATTGCTTGCATTGCTTGCTTCCTTTCCTCCTCTTCAGCTTTAATCCAGGCAGCCTACAAAATGTAAACAAAGCAAAGCAGGTTGAGCAGAGTCAATAAGTTTTTGCAACTGTCGATTTAAAAAAGAAAAAAGTATGAAAGGAATAGGGGAGTAAGAATTTACAGTGTCAAGCACCAACTCAATAAGACTTTTTTTCATAAATAATACTATTTTAAAAAATATTTACCCAAATAGCACCTCTGCAACTTTATTTACACAACTAGCACTGTTTACTGTTCACTTAATAAAATAATATTATTTCGCGTAACTGTTCACTGTTCACTGTATTAAAATAATATTATTTCGCGGACTGAACTCTCGCTCAAGCGAAGAAAACCTTCGCTTGAGCGAGGAAACCTGTAACAAAAGGGTAGTCTGGGGTAAATTCTCGCTCAAGCGAAGGTTTTCTCGCTTGAGCGAAAAGTATGATCGACTATTATCCCATTATAGTCGATCACTTTCACATATATGACCTTAGATAGCGGTTATTTGGCCAACCGCTATCTAAACTCTTGCATTAGATAGCGGTTATTTGTCCAACCGCTATCTAATATAGTAGTTTAGATAGCGGTTGGCCAAATAACCGCTATCTAAAGTGACTCAAGCGAAAATCACACCGCTTGAGCGAGGACACTTGGAAACAAGGGGACTCTCGGGTTCTGTTTAGCTCGAGCGACGCGACTTTCGCTCGAGCGACAAAGTGATTGAAATCTGTTTCAATCGATTATAACGTATTTCAATCGATTAAAATAACTTGGAAAAATTTTGTTCGGAGTTTCAATCGATTAAAACGCGTTTCAACCGATTAATACAACTTCGAAAAAGTTTGTACAAAGTTTTAATCGATTAAAACTTCTTTTTATCAGCTAAAATAACTTGGAAAGTTTTTATAAGAAAGTTTTGCGAGTATATCAATCGATTAAAACACGAAACAATCGATTGAATCAAACTTAGAAAAGTTTTGTAAAGTGTTTTAATTGATATAACCGTTGTAGTATCAGCTTAAAACAAATCTGTTAAAGAATCAAGAACGTATCAATGGATTGAAAGGACTTTTAACAGATTGAAACGGCTATTTCAACAGATTAAAACAAACTTTCAACAGATTAATTAATGCAGCAGTTATGAAAATACTCTTTAAAATCAGTTTGCTTGAACTTTTTAAACATACATTGAATAAGATCTTCGTTATATCAAATGATTCAATAAGATCTTCATCATTTTCAATTAATTGAAAAACTCCTAAGTTTCATACATTGAGACATTTCTTAACTAACACAATCTAATGATGCGAAGTAGATGCACATGCAATATTGGGACATGTTCTTCTGCTATGACCAGGGGTATGACAATATGAACATTTTTTAATCCTACTTTGATGTTCTGTAATGTCCATCTCAGTTCTTATACGACTTGATTTCGGTCGGCCCTTTGAAGTTCTTTTCATTTCTGGATTTGCACACAAAGTAGGTCCTGTGTATGTTGGCCAATATTCTTCATTTCGCAATAACCCAAATTGTGTTCCGTATACCTTTGAAACTTGTTGTAAGGTATACACTGAATTAATATAGTTGTTGAAGTCATGGTGTGCATGCTTGCATGCAGCAAGAACATGTGAACAAGGCATGTGAAATTTTTGGAATTTCCCACAGTCACACCATAACTCATCAAGGTGAACTGCAAACTTCCCTGCTGGTCGAACTTCACGCGGGTTTTGTGTTTCTTCTACTACAAATTTTGTGGTAGACCTGTCAAACGTTATGACCCTGTGCGTGTTTGCCTGTGTTTGTGCTTCCTCTAAATTCTTGGTCAAAATTTCAGAGTATACATGACCAGCATTGATGAGGGCATCTATCTGCCTCCCTCTTTCAATGAAAAATTTGTTGCAACGGGTGTACGTTGCGGTGACCATGGAGCAAATAGGTAGATTTCTTGTTTTTTTCAAAACAGAGTTGATAGACTCTGCTATATTGGTCGTCATGTGGCCCCAACGTCGCCCATTGTCCCATGCAAGTGCCCATTTTTCTCTAGGTATCTCATCCAACCAATTAGTCTGCTTGTATGTCACATTGCCTCAAGATGTTGTAATAATAGTAGAATCGTGGTTCGGTCATCCCATACGCTACAACAATATTAAAAAAACATAGTTAATATAAATATTTATTAGCAACAATTATATAATGAATAAATTGAAACAAATTTGAAGCAAAGGAATTACCCATATTTACAACATCTTTCCTCAGTGCGGTGTTTTTGAAATGTCTCATAAAATTCTGTGCAATGTGTCTAATGCAGTAGACATGCGTTGAATTATTTTCTGTCCATCCGCTTCCATTTCTCATGTATGCACTTCTAATGGATTCATGTCGGTCTGATATGAGGCATAATCCTTGCTGGGGTGTGACATATCTTTGAAGGTTTTTTAAGAAAAAAAATCAGGCATCACTTGTTTCACCTTCAACCACTGCAAACGCAATGGGGAGGATGTTGTTGCGGCCATCTTGTGCTACTGCAACCAACAAGGTACCTCTATATTTTCCATACAAAAAAGTTCCGTCCACTTGAACAATGGGCTTGCAGTGAACAAATTCATCTATGCATGACCTAAACGCCCAAAACACACGTTTAAAAATATTTGAATTTTGTTGAAGGACTTCACCTTGGTAAGCTGGTTGTGACTGCAGTTTGTAGATGAATCCGGGAACAAATTGTTGCATCGCTTGTAACAAACAAGGCAACTTCTTATACGACTCCTCCCAATTGCCGTAGATGATCTCCACTGCCCTTTGTTTTGCCAACCAGGCCTTCCTATATGTTATAGTGTAACCCGTTGTTAATTGGATGTGGGCTATGATTGTGGATATTGGTGTTGACGAATCAGCATCAATTAGTTGACCAATTTTTTGGGAAATCATTTTATAAAATTTTTAGTGTAACCCGTTGTTTCTGCTTTTTTGTCTAACCCAATGCAGGGAATCCAAGATTGGAATCCAAGATTTTGTCTAACATTGGAATCCAATGCTCCCTCACATGGTTTCTGCTTTTTTGTCTAACCCAATGCAGGGAATCCAACATTGGAATCCAATGCTTTGGCCAAGATTGGAATCCAATGCTTTGGCCAAGATTGGAATCCAAGATTGGAATCCAATGCTTTGGCCAAGACATGGGAATCCTGACTTCGGTGGGTGACTCAGCATTGTAAATAGTTGCAGGTTTTCTCGCTCAAGCGATGGTTTCTCGCTCGAGCGAAACAGAACCCGAGAGTCCCCCTTGTTTGAAGGCTTCATCGCTCAAGCAGTGACTTTGTCGCTTGAGCGAGTAATGACTGAATCACCTTAGATAGCGGTTGATAACAACCGCTTTTAAAATATATATTACATAGAGGTTGGCTTTAACCGCTTTCTAATGTAGTAGTTTAGATAGCGGTTGGCCAAATAACCGCTATCTAAAGTCATATACTTGAAAGTGATGCTAGCAAAAGATGTCATTGATTTGATGAAGTCAAAGATAAAGTCAAAAGTCAACTCTGCAGCGATCAACAAGTCACCCAGATAATTGAGTCGAAGATTGAGTGTGTCTTAACGAAAGTTTCTACTGCATAAAGTTTTTTCATCATTTTGCAAAATGCCTCAAAAATAGTTTTAAACAAATAAAAAACAAAAGCATTTTGACAAAGAACTTTCTTAATAATGTTTTTAAGCTGATATAGTTTTAAAAGAAACGATTAAAATTACTTAGAATGTTTAAAGAAGTGTTTTTACGAGTATTTTAATCGATACAAACTCCTTTTAATCGATTAAAACCACTTTGGAAGTCAGGATGATCGATCAGAATGAAATTATGACCGATCGAAGGTGGTTATGATCAATCGAATTAAATTATGACCGATCAGACCTATTTCAATCGATTAAAACGCATTTCAATCGACTAAAATAACTTGGGAAAACTTTGTACAGAGTTTCAATCGATTAAAACACGTTTCAACCGATTAAAACAACTTAGAAAAATTCTGTGCAGTTTTTTAATCGATTAAAACTTTTTTGTATCAATTAAAATAACTTGAAAAGTTTTATAAGAAAGTTTTAAAGTAAATCAATCGATTAAAATGAGAATCAATCGATTGAATCACTCTCAGAAAATGTTTGTAAAATGTTTTAACTGATATAAACATGGTTGGAGGGTTGGTCTTTCCACCATGCATCAGATGAAATACTCACGTGATATTCTTAGCAGGTTCGGGATGAAGAATTGCAATGCTGCAGTAAACTCCAACGGAAATGGGTCTGAGATTAGAAAGGGGCACTGAGGAGGAAGATGTTGATCACACAGAGTTTCGCAGAATCATTGGAAGTCTAAGATACCGTGTAACACCGGACACGTGGTAGCTCTCTCCTCCTGTCAAGCGAGTATATAGCTGCTGCACAGCCGCATGTCAAGCCGCATGGCTCGAGATGCTCGTTGAAGGAGCCGAATGCGAATTGGTCCAACCACCAACATTGTTTGTTGATAATAAGTCTGCAATAGACTTAGCTAAACACCCATCGACTCATGGAAAAAGCAAACATATAGAAATGAGGTTTCATTTCTTGAGAGAGGTTTCATTTCTTGAGAGAGCGAGTTAATGATAAGAAGCTTGAAATAGAACACCGTAGTACGAGAAGATCGAAGTGCGGATATCTTTACAAAGCCTTTGAAGGCTGCTAGATTTTGTAAACTCGGAGAGTGTCCGAGAATTGTTCAGTTTTGACTTAAGTAGGCATGTTGAGATTTAAGTCAAAATGCATGATGGGTAGTTACGTGTATGGGTATTATGTGCATGGGGCATGCATTACGTGCATGGGTTTCTTTCAGCTTTTTTTCTGTTTTGTTCACGTTCTCCGTTCTACTCGTTATTTGTTATTTCTACTCGTATATAAACATTACAGTTTTCATACATCAATAAAAGGAATGTACTTCGGTTTCTATCTCGTAGCTCTCCCATTTCGGATATAACGAGAGTCCCCCTTGTTTCAGGTGTCCTCGCTCAAGCGGTGTGATTTTCGCTTGAGTCACTTTAGATAGCGGTTATTTGGCCAACCGCTATCTAAACTACTATATTAGATAGCGGTTGGGCAAATAACCGCTATCTAATGCGATAGTTTAGATAGCGGTTGGCCAAATAACCGCTATCTAAAGTCATATATGTCAAAGTGATCGACTATAATGGGATAATAGTCGATCATACTTTTCGCTCAAGCGAGAAAACCTTCGCTTGAGCGAGAATTTACCCCAGACTACCCCTTTGTTACAGGTTTCCTCGCTCAAGCGAAGGTGTTCTTCGCTTGAGCGAGAGTTCAGTCCGCGAAATAATATTATTTTAATACAGTGAACAGTGAACAGTTGCGCGAAATAATATTATTTTATTAAGTGAACAGTAAACAGTGCTAGTTGTATAAATAAAGTTACAGAGGTGCTATTTGGGTAAATATTTTTTAAAACAGTATTATTTATGAAAAAAAGTCACTCAATAATAGCAGGTTGATTTTCCGAAAAGCTTTTGAAGTTCCAACAGCAAAATCAGACATACTATATAAGACTAACCTTTTCTCGTTCAAGCTTAGAAGCACGAGGTTTAATGGAGTTTCCTAGACTCAGTCCTCCCCAAGCTTCTTGCAACTCTCTCTCCCTTGCTTCACGACGAGTCACTGAAAGACTAACTGAGTTCTCTGGCTGCTGAGCAGCAACCACCTTTTCTCGCTCAAGTCTGGATTTATTTTTAACCAACACTTGGTCCAGACCACCTTCATTTCTTTCCAGATGGATGTTGTTTCCTAAGCTCAATCCTCCCCAAGTTTCTAGCAACTCTCTCTCCCTTGCTTCACGACGAGTCATTGAACGACTAACTGAAGTCTCTGGCTGCTGAGCAGCAACCATCTTTTCTTGCTCGAGTCTGGATTTATGCTTAACCAACACCTGATCCAGACCGCCGTCATTGGTTTCCGAATGGATGTTTCTGTGGCTTCTCTGAACTTGGCCCCATTCTTCCCTTGTATTGTTGCTCATTTTCTCCTTCTCCAGTCTAGAGACATGCTTTACTAAAACTTTATCTAAGCTCTCACAATCTGGAACATTCGTTGCCTCATGTTTCATTCTTTGTTTGTAGTTTTCACGGTTTCCCAATGACATGGCATGCAACTTCTCTCTTTCCAATCTGTGCACCGGCTTTATCAGCATTTTCTCCAACCCATCTTTGTTTTCCCCTGAATTTAACTCTATATTTGAATTTATGTTTTCTTTCTTGTCCAATGCTTCATCAACTTTTTTCTTCAAACCTCTGTTCTCATTGATTCTTCTGGTTTTTGCTTCTTGGACTACCTTTTCAAGTCTTGAGACATGTTTCACTAAGACCTTATCCAAGCTTGGTACTTCTATGCGATCCCTTTGCTTGTTTGGCATGCCACTTGGAACTGCTGTCATCTCTTTTCCAGACTTTATTTTTGCCTCTTCGATGTCTTTCTCTAATTTTGAGTAACTCTTCACTAGAATACTTCCCAAATCAGGTACCATCTCAGGTGGAGTTTCATCAACGGATTTACGAGAGCTATCTCTGACTGATTCTGTCTCATTCTTTCGAGTTTGTTTGGCTTCCCAAACCTCTCTTTCAAGTTTTGTCATGTGCTTAACTAAAAACTTATCTAGGCTTGGTAATTCTGGCTCAACTTGCTTCTTTCTCGTCACATCCAAGGCTAACTTTCCCAATCCTGATGACATTCTTCTTGCTGGAAAATTAGTGGCCAAAGAGAATGAATACTCAGTAGTAGAGTCTGAATTGTGCAGTTTGGCATTCTGCACTTCAGCCAAGGCAGCATTCAGACCATAAGTTGCAACTATCGTGGCGAGAGAAGAAAGTTCATCTTCTTGCAAGCATTTTAACCTCTCAGTCATCATATCCACAAGTTTTATTTTGTTCTCAAGAGACTGTCTCCTTTTGTTTGTCCCAAGAAAAGGTATCTTGGAATCCAAGTCTTGGGAGTTGAAGTCACCCTTTTGAGAGGCTGAATTAAGCTCTGACCCAGACTCAGATTCATACTCTGGACAGAACTCAGTCGAGTCCTGATTATTTTCATCAGTATCTGGATTTTCACTAATTTTTCTTAGAATTTCGCTGAATTCACCTTTACTAAATGAAGGGCAGTTTGCAAGCCTAATAAATGCAGTTTTGACAGCTGCAGCCACTTCTCTGTCCACCTCAAAGGCAGTTTCAAAAGATGCAGTAACAGCATGGGTAGATGATCCTTCTCCATGAACAGAGGATGTCTCTGTTTGACAATGCTTCCTAGAGCAGTTTGGCAAGTCAAACATAATAACACCCATAGCCTGGGCTGTCCCAAAAGCCTCTTCAGCACTTTTTTCTGCCTTCAAGAGTTGCGCCTCTGCATCATCACTAGGAATCCTGTAAACACCAATACGAAAAACAGACTTTAAATCCTGCTTACAAATTAGAAATCAACATTGCTAAGCATGGCTGTTTCCAGAAATTTTTACCTGGCACCACATAAAGTCCAATATACAAATTACAGAAAAACCTTACCTGGCAGCACGTAAAATACGACACCAAGAGGCTTCCACTAATGCAGCTCTTTGGGTCTCCATTGCTTTATGGGCCGCTTCTCTAGCTGCCATTTTCTCTCTCAGCACTCTTGAATAATGTGGGTTAGAACTGCCTAGAGTCTGATCAAGCGTCAAATTTATACCATCTACTTCCTGAAAAGGTGAAATGTGTGTTAGCATTGGAATTCAAAAATAATAAACTAAATACTAGCAACAAGTATGCGTCCATGGCAAAACCTGAAGCATCTTGATTTTCCTATTCATGTACGTATCCCCTTTTTTGCGTGGGAACCAATTAATAGGCGAGGTTTTACGACGAGGAGGCTTTCTAATTTGTGATTTGAACTTGTTAAGAGCACTTGACGTAGATAGACCAGCCTCCTTGCTCAGTTTATTCTGCATCATTCAGTAAAAGAAAACACAGAATTGTTTTATACTCAGCCAAATTTATTTACAAAACAGATGGCTAAATAATAATTAAATCCAAAATCAATTATTTAAGGTGTTAGCAAAAACATGTTAAACCATAATCTAAAAATCAACTTAGCTGAAATTTCAACGTGATTTAGGATAATACAACACGAATCCAACGAGGCACTTAAAATATCCTGGTCAATGTAATTGTCATTTGTTACATGAATTTGCCAGATATTTTCAGCCCCTAGGGTTCGTTCTTTTACATCATCTTAATTACCCCAATTCCAAAACATAATACTAAACTAATAAGAGAAACTCCTCATTAAGACCAGTTCTAAAACAGCACTCATCTCTGGAATTACTCGAGTCTAAATTGCTAGTTTCCACTTGGATCGTAAGTAATTCTAAGACCAACAAGACCCTCTCTCTTACTGGATTTCGTCAATAAATAGGGTTTCGGATAAGAATAATTATTGGACAGTGGCTCACCAGGTTAGGGTTTGAATCAGTAAACACCAAACAGACACAGGGATTCCAGAAAATTGTAAAGACAAAAGGCAACCGATGTTAATAGCGAAATTGCGGACGAAAAACGTTTGAATAAAAAATGGAAAACTTACCTTTCCGATCTTGGAATTGACGGAGAGTGTAGGAGAATGAAGAGGATGAGCAGGGGTGTCGGGGGAGTCATTCCCTGACCCAGAGTTGCCCACAACATACATCACCTCCGAACTCTTCAATACTATCTGTTTAGTCTTTACTTTCACTCTCAGATTCACAGAACTCTCAGTTTCGATTCACGGAACTCCCAGTTTCAGATTCAACAAAACAAAAAGAATAAGATGAAGTAACGTTTAGTTTTGTCATACTGAAACTCTCCTTTTAGTTGAGAAAATGGAACCTCGAAAACTAGCCGTTGCCGAAATTTGTAACGGCCATTTAAAATATTAACTATTTTTCCTTTTTCTCTCTCCACAAATATTCCAATACATTATATTTAAATTAACTTAGAAATTATATTCCTAAATTTTATTACACTATATTTTATATGATATAAATCATTATAATTGTGAATTGTTTTCTATTTTATAAACCTTTTTTAAAATTTGTCTAAACATGGAAAATCAAATAGATAGTTGTATGGAACTTTAAAGAGGAAAAAAAAATACATTACATTTATTTTGTTCCAGCTTTGAAGCGAAAGCAAATTTATTACAAATAAACTAATGGTTAATTAATTCCTGTGATAGTAGGTGGTTTTAAATTTTGCTATCATATGTTTTTGATGCATTCATTAATTTTTTTTTTCTATAGATTTAGTACCTAAATGATGAACTATATATTGGAAAACATTGAAAACAAAGTCACTGTTCGATTCGCTTCAATTAGTAATTTATAATAATGATCAACAGTATTCATTTTTCATACTCAATTCTTCAGGCCAAAAATAAAAACTAAAATATTAAATCATCATTTTAACATACCATATATATCCCTTTTTTTAATCAAGTCAATAAATTTCTCTTTCGTACAGCTCTTATGCAAATTTAAATCATAATTGTATGTATATATATATAAATGAAAAATATTTGTATAAAATTACCCAATAGAATAAAAAGTAAAATACAATATGTATATATATATATATATATATATATATATATAAACAACTAGTGTTGTAATACCGACAAATAAACATAAAATTTTGATTTATTTTATTTTATTTTATTTTTCTTACAAGCAAACATGGGAGATGGTAAAAAAAGTAACTAGAAGAAACTAGTTAGGAAGAAGAAGAAAGTAATAGAAAATGAAAATTTTATATGTATTATTTTACGTTTTTATGTGGGTTGATAAAAAGTCAGTAATTAATATTAATTAGCATGTATCCTTGATTCATAGGTGATATTAACAGTTAGTATTACTTAGTATTGAAATCTAGTTATTTGTTCACATTTTACTTGTATTTTTTTGGATATAAGCCAATGATGCATATAACATATTCTAAGTATGTTTTCTCAAGGTACACGTTTCACCTAAAATATAACAAATCCCTCCAAAACATAAACCATATTAACATGAATCAATTCTCTTGTATTAACATGGTTTCAGTTCGGATGAACAAATAACAAAATCGTTCTACTACACACAAGGGAACTAGTAGAGGGAATGGGGAGTGCAAAAACTTTTAACACTAATGACATCCACACTAAATACAACATGAATACTAACTACAACAGTCAGAAAGATCTTCAGAAAAGGATCTTGTATGATAAAAAAGTTCTCTCCAACTATTTCACTATATAAACCTATACCTGATTATACAAATCGTTCTAACGGACACCTCGTATAATTTATCATCAAAAGTGACGTGCTTGTATTTGTTCCAATCAGAAGACAACTTCTGCATCTTACATGTGATGTGTGAAACTGATATCTTCTATCTAGGCATACTAGCAGAGGATTTTGCGGCATTCTCTCACTCCAATTTGAGACAATTGATTCTACACTTTTGTGCCACCAGAAACAAACGACAATAGAGAAAGCGAGATTTTTTTACTCATTCATATAATTCATTGTGCGGTGTCCACCTCAATGAAGGTAAGACAAGTGGAGACAGACTTTGGAGCTCATACCTAACCTAGATTACAATGGGCAACTTCCGTGTACAATACAGGAAGGTGAAATGTTTTCAAGATGTGAGGTAAACAAAACTTCCGTTGTAAATTTAGTTAAAGAAACTATGTATGGACCGTTGTGTCAAGACAATGAAGTGCCCATGTTCCTTCAATAGTCTTTTCAGTCACCACGTAGAAACTTAACTGTCTCTAAGGAAACAACCATTTCAGAGAAGATAAAAATTCTAAGTATTTCTTGAACTGTTGCCATGAAACTGGGGATCAGGTTCATCCTGCAATCAAGGTTATGTGATAAAGATAGCGAAAACCAAGCATAAACTCTTTTGTTCCAAGATATATGGTGGTAGTAGTATATGTATATGTCCTATTTTTTACACAAACCTGAAGGCTATATCCAAAAGTAGTTGATGGCCGAAATTCCAATTGCCCTCCCTACAGGATCAACATAAATTAACCAACTTTCATCATGTTAAAGCTATGTACTCTGACTTCCCTACATTTCATTAAAAAAAAAAAAAAAAGACCTTACCAGCCCATGAATGCTTTGCTGTGTTCCATAAAACCCATCATGGCTTGGAGCCATAGAATTCAAAGGACCCTACAAAGATACGAATATCAATTTATAATTCTTCTGTTCCAATAAAATTAAATGACAAACACATATCTGCTAATTATAATCATCGTTAGGACAATTTACCAAGCGTTGCATGCTCTGTTGATTAACATAGTAACCATCATGAGGCGGCTCCATTAAGTTCAACTGTACCTGCTACACAAAACAAAATTATTAATTGACTCTTAAAATCCAGGATATATGCAATAATTTATTCATCAACAAGTATAAAATACCAGTCCTTGCACATTCTGCTGGGTACCATAATATCCGTTAATGGTTAATGCATCCGAGCTAAGATTATCCTAAAAGAATGAAAGCCCGAGTTACAGGAAGCATAGGCTCTAGAACATTCCAGTCCTGATGTAATGGAGTAGATATTCGTGAAAATAGTGATGCAATTCTCAACGTATCAAATGCAATCTGGATTTGTAAAAACTAAAATAGACCAGGATTGAAACATGGGTAACACAAACCATTTGCTGCAGGCTATCTTGAGCATCAACAAGCATAACATCCTGCTCTAATTGTGCCTATAAAAAAGATTCTCAAATCAATTTCGTGATTTTCATGAAGGCCAAAATAATTTAACATTTATGCATATAAACCACAAAACTCAGAACGGACCTTTCTTTTCCTAGCTGTGTTCCTCTTTTTATTTGGTTGCAAAGCAAGAAGACCCTGATTTTCTTCTGCTTCACGAAGGCCATAGGCATTGTTGCTAGTTTCTGCACCATTATTATTCGAATTATTCACGAGTACACAGTTCTTCAAGGCATCCACAAGTGCACGAAAAACAACACTGTAATTCTCTTCAGATAATGATCCTTCTTCACTCAAATCAATAGCTCGTTTACACAAGTCATTATAACGTTGCACCCTAGTTTGTATCCTTCTTGTCCTATCTGCCATTGATTCCTTAATTTTGGCATCTTTGGTCCACCTCTTCAAGATATAATGAGATGGAACACTTGAACAACCACAACGTTGAAGAACACTTAATGCGTGCCTGCAAAGGAAACCTTTATATTCAAACAATCGACAAAAGCAAGAGACCTCTGAGCTGATTTCATTCCAACTGACCAAAAACTCTTCATCCTTCTCATAATCTTGAACTATAAACTTTGCAACAGTCCCATCTCCAATCTCTATCCTAGATTGACAGCCAGCTACACCTAAAACTTCAACTTGAAATTTCTTAAATATTGCATGTGTATAAACTGTTGACATTTGTTTTTCCCAAGGTGAAGGAGATTTAAGTGCTGGCTGTTTGTGCAATGATTCAAAATCCGCAATGGCTTCCTCGTCATACCTATTTTGAAGAATTATCCCATATTGTTTTACAAACTCTTTAAGGGTAATTTTCTTATGAATATATTTGTCAAAGATCGAGTTCATACTTTCAGTGCGTTGTGGTGTAGACATTCCAGCTAAAAAGGTATCCCCCATGTAAGTTGGCACCCACTTTTTCCGGTCCTCGTACAATGACTGAAACCATATATCATCTTGGAGTTCACATATACTGACCATTTTCCACCATCTCATGTCAAACTGTTCGTCTGTCCATGATTTAAAAATGCACTTGTTAAATTTGGGTAAGAAGTTGTCGTGCTGTTTGATCACAAAAGAGAGATTCTCAGGTATCCTCTCTAGTATGTGCCAAAGAGAAAAACAATGCCGTACATTTGGAAAGACTTCTTCAATTGCTGCCTTCAAGGCTTTGTCTTGATCAGTGATTATAACCTTGGGAGCTTGCCCACCCATAGCTCTGAGCCATGTCTTCATTAACCAGACAAATGTTGGTTTAGTCTCATCTGCAACCAATGCACATCCAAGTAATATAGGTTGAGAATGGTGGTTCACTCCAACAAAAGGTGCAAATGGCAACTTGTCATTGCTTTTAATGTAAGTGGTATCAAATGAAACTACATCGTTAAAGCTGAGATAATCATTGATACTTTTTGCATCTATCCAAAATAGATTTCTTAAGCGCTGCTCTTCATTTAAATCTATAGAATAGAAGAAGTTGGGACTCTCCTTCTGTACATGCTTAAAATACTCAAGCATAACCTGGGCATCTCCCTCATCCAAAGCCAAATACTGGCCTCTGTCAAACTGGTAGTTTATATCACTCAAGAAAGAACCGATGTTTTGACAGCCCCCAGATTGCCTTGACATTTCAACGTACATCTTTTTGGTACGTTCACTAACAGCATGCAAGATATCAATATTATTCTTTTCAGCTAATTTCACATTTCTATGAATCCGAAAATGATATGCCAAAGCAGGCAAAAGTTCATGATTATGTTCCTTTATAAATTCATGAATGATCCACTTTCCATCTGGCTTTCTCTTCACATGCATGCAAGCTTTGCAATCTGTTTTCTTTACACTTGGTCTTCGACTGCTTCCACTGTCAGACTCGGGCGTAACTCCATACCTAGAGCATGCAAATTTGGCATCAATAAATTCTTTTGTTTTCTTTGAGCGTCTGCTGTTTTTTATTGAAGTAGTGAATCCCATAGATTTGGCATATTCCTGATAAAATAAATAAGCTGCCTCGTGGGATTCAAATTCAATGCCATTGTGCGGCTCAAAATCTTTGTCTCCCTCAAACAATGCAATGTCCCTCTTGGGAGAAGCAGTAGGTACACCACCTCTGTGCTGCACTTCATGTAGTGCATCACCCATATTTTCACTCACTGCTCTACCATGCACTGCTTTCAGAATACTTGCCACAAAATAAATTGCACTTTGGTTGCTACCTGTCACTGAAAAATACAAATAAAGAAAGTTTCTAATTAGTACAACGGCCAAATGTAGCTATCCAAATATTAAATTTACAGTGATTCTTGAGGGGGCAGGGGATGCACACCTTGCAATTTAACAATGTAACACGTAAAAAATTTTAAAGTTACTTATGATAACTCTCATAAAGTTAGCCAGCCCCAAATTCAAGGACAGATGTTATAAAATGAAAACTGACTTCAGACAAGTAAGAAAATACAAAAGGTCTAGATGCTTCCAAATTTGAGCATCCTGAACAAGAAGTGTGCAAAATCATAACAAGAATTTAGTTTTTTTTTTGTTTTTTTTTTGGTTTCCCACAAGTATTTTGGTATCAGAAACATTACTATTTTACATATTGTAAAACACTAAGTGTGAAAACCCCTTTAAGTAGAAATTCAAACATTGTAAATCACGCAGAGGGAGACTAGTCCCTTTCGTTCACCATGCTATATGGAAAACTAATCTCTTCTATTAAACCCAACCCTGTTGTTACCAGAGAACAAGAGTTGAAACAAATAAACTATGCAAGAAATCACAACTAAGAAAAAAAATCTAAAAGACAGCCCCAGTAACGATAAATCAAGAAAGCATGTTGCCGTATGAAATTAGCTAAAGGAAGAAGCTAAGCTAGCTACTGCTGTGGCCAAACTCAAAAACTTGTTGATCAGTGAACACAGAATGATCATTCGACAAAACACAAACAAAGCATTGAGTAAGTAGAGTTTGATAGAGAACAGAACGCAGTTTCCAGCTCTTCATTCAGAAATCACATTTTACCGAGCTTGTAGATTTTGGGTTCTAACTAAACTGGCGCTACTTTTCTTAGACTACAAGTATATTTTTTTCAATGAATTTAAAACTTTCACGTGAGAAATGTGCGTGAAGTGGATGGAATTAGAAAACCCACATGGTGTTTGAGCAAGTGGGTTCAGTTGTGACCATAGACAGAGCAAAAAAAATATTTCTTTGGTAGAAAAAATCACAGAAAATTGAAAAGGAGGAGGGAGGAAGCAGAAGGGAAAAACCTTAAAGGGCGGGAGATCACGAGGCGCGAGTGGGTGAAAGCGCGAGTGGGAAAGCTAGGGTTTTGAAATTTGGGGGAAACAATTGAATTATGGATGGGATCGGAGAGCAACTCAACTCGCTTGGCTCACTCGCTCGTCTCTCACTCTGCACTCAGGGCGCGTCTTATTGCCACTCTCTCTTTTTCTTATTTCCTTTTCATTTTCTTGTCTTCGTTGCCCACACGCGTCCCTCACTCTCCCTTTCTCCTCCATACGACGACGTAGCGCGTGTACCTTCTCTTCATATTTGTGTCTACAAAATTCTCCTAAGACCTCTCTACCCCACTCTGCACGACATTGTGTTTAGTTCACTCACTTTGTTGTCCTCCTCCTCTCACTCTCTTTCTTTTTTATTTCTTTCTTTATTTACTTTTTAGTTTCGAAAATATTACTGATTTTTTTTATTTTCGTTTTTAAGAAAAATTTATTCATTTAAGTACTTGTGTATAACAAAATAATACGATTTTAGTTTATTTAGGTAGATGTTAAAATAGGTTTTCGAAAATTGAGAAAAATAGTTAATAGAGAAAAAAATGTGATAATAATGATATTTTTTGTTCAATCTCTTAAACTCGTATTTTAGATAGACATAAGTTAAGTTATATTATAACCTAAATATATAATGATAATAATGAATCATAGAAAGTAAAAATTAGTAATACATTAAAAAAATGATTTTTTATATTTTTATTTATATATTTTAGACAAAAATCAACCAATTTTTAGATGACACATTATTCTCTTTTTTAAGATCCACGAGCTAATTAAGTCATCTTTAAAGTGGCTTGGAGGTGAAAAAATTCGCAATTTTAATATCTTTAATAACTTCATTAATTATATTGTTTGAGTTCACTTTTTGAGCTAGTATGAAATTTTTTGTTAGATACTTGAATCATAACAACTTGGTAATCTTTATTAAAAAAATGGATGTGTTTTATAAAAAAAATTAATTAAAACTATAAAGTCCAAAAAATATTATAAAAAAAGTACATAAACTTGATTTAATGTTACATTTGATGATACTTGGATTGGATGTAAAAAAAGAAACATGCCATGCGACACTGTACAAATAAGATAAACTAACGAAATTTAGTGTGCAAAATTATATATAAAAAATATATATTTCCATTCAAACTAACATAGTTAAATATTAAAATTAAAAAATTAAAAACATTAGAATTTTCTCTTTTGATTTAAAGTTACTAAAAACTTATTTTAACCTTCAAAAATATTAGAATACATTTAGTTATAATAATTTTCTCTTTTGATTCTCCATCTAGAAATGTAGAAACACAGATGACCCTAGGTTTAATTCAATGCTACTTCGAACAGATTTATACACCACCCATAAACAATGTTTCATTGAACAGAGAAGAAAACATTGAGTATTGAGAAACTATATTTACAGTGTTTTTATAAATATTTATACAAAAATGTCAGATCATAACCAACTGCCATTTATCCTCCATAACCTGAAAATAAAGTACCACTGATATCTCTACAATGTGAGCATTTCTGAATGTTGGATCATGACTACATAATTGCAGACTCCTTAGAAAGAAAAGTAGTACTATTGCTCTTTATCATCAATCCATTTTGTTGCCACCCATTTCTCTCCCTTGATCACTGGACAACTTCCATGGAGAGAAGTCTGCAAAAGTATTCAAAAAACCAAAAGTGGGGTGACAAACAGAATGACCTCTTGGCACAAAGTTCTGAATATATTTCTACATTTCTAAGTTTTTTGCATGTTGTTTCCCTTTTGCTTAATGAAAACTTCTCTGTCCATACGTACTGTAAAAGTAACGGGAATTAGATCACATATCCGAAAATGAAAGATTACCTTATCAATTTTCCCGTTTGGTAACAAAGAATAAAATAAAAGTCCATCTCCCTGCCGTGGCTTCACCTTCAATCCAATGCATTTTCGGTAATCATAATCCGTATCAAGGTTCAAACCACCCTGCAAATTTGAATACTTAAATACTTACGCATCAAGATTTCAAGGTGTAATGTATCAGACAGATGAAAGCAATTAATTTGCTAATCTACCTCATAAGGGAACATTGTTTCCCCCCCTGCTTCAACATTTGATAGGTATAACAGGAAGGAAGCAATCTGCACGATAAACCAGTGAAGACACTTTCAGAAAAAGAATAAAACATCTAGACAAAATTACTAAGCAAGTTCCAAATTGCTGCCAAATATTAACCATGTAGAGCGAAAACTCATTATAGAGAGATCTTGCATACAAAGGAATTGTTGAAATGACAAGATAAATTTATACTTGCATATTCCTATGAATATATATGTAGTGTTTGACAAGTTGTATTTATTAAGAACTTAATATACCCTTTGGCTCTTAACAGTGCCGTATTCATCTGGGTTGAACGCATCATAATGAGAATCATATTTCTGGCCAACCTCATACTTCAATATATTGAATTTCTGCAAAATAATGACAGCATTTCCCGCTTTACTCTTAAATGAACACTTACACTGTGATGGAAGGTCAAAAGAGACATACTTCCCCATGGCTCCTTGGAAGCAATGTAACTTTAGCAATTTTCATCTCTACCATGTCTAAGATGCCAGATTTGTCTTCTGATGCACTGATAAATGTGCCTGAACTGTTGCCAGCTAAAAAATTAGCATATAGTAGCAACACAAATGTCTCACCATCATCTTCAATGATTATCTGCTCTAACATATGCATTATTTTTTAACTTCCAAAAGCAGAAGCGATTTATCTAAAATTGAGTTAAGCGGCTTTGAAAGCATTGATCTACATAAATATATACATAAGTATGTGTAAAATATAAATATACGAGCATTATCTCATCATAAACATTTTCAGATATTCAATATACACTTTTCTCACTGAGAGAGGTCCAAAGAGTTACACCATATATATTACCATAGTTGAGAATAAAAGGCCTTGCTCAAAATAGTACCTTGTTCTAGTGTCTTTTGTGCTCTCGGCAGTTTCTCCTTTTCGCAAAGCCAGTTTTGATGGTTCAAGTTTTGGCTTTGCCAATTCAATTATTTGCTGACATGCTTCCACACTTGTGAAGTTTGGAAAGTAAACCGCCCGTGGTGTCCAACTTAAAATCTGCAGAAAACGGGATCACGTTGAAACCAATGAAGCGGCGATCATAAGTAGAATTAAATTAAGTACAAACTCTAAAACAGCAATTTCTATTTGGAGTCTCCATTTCAACCAGATCCTATACCACTTTTAAACCAATGTAACATGAGTTAATTAATCAAATGTATCACTTCTGTTGGCTTTAACTAACGCCGAGTACAACCCAGCAATTGTAAATCCTATTCCACAAAGCTAATATATCTTCACATTTACAACAGTTAACCTATCTTCCTATTTTCATTGGAGATTTAAACATAGAAAGATATACTCAACCTTCCCAAAAAAAGTGCAAGATATGTGATCCTGGTCCTCCAACAACTGATGAGAAATTATTCACCAAATTTTATTCATTAAAAAAATATGAATCATGAAATGCCATGCGTCAATTAAAGTCAAACACTATGCTAGCACGCAGATCATATCATCAAAACCACAATCCAGGTAAATACATCAGATAATAAACATGTAATTGTAACCCAACCAAAATCCACTGATCCAACCCCAGAGGAAACAAAAAGAAGAGAATTCACCTGAAATGGGATTGAATCAAAACAGAACTCCCCGGATTCACCATGTTCAAGAGGTTCATGTACTTTCTTCACCGATTCATGGAGTATTCTTGACTTTGATCCCACATCATCCAAATCCTGAAATCGTTGCTAACGAATAAAGAGTTTGATCAATGAAAGCACAAGAACCCAATAAAGGAAGCAATCTAGAAACCTGAAAGAGGAGAGGAGACACAAAGAAGCCAGCAAAGAAAAAAATAGCGCAAAGGAAAAAAAATGTTGGTATGCCCAACTTCAGTTTGGAGCTCTTTACTTTGCCTTTCATCATTTCTCTGGTTAGAACAATAAATAAATAAATAAATAAATAACCGATGCAAGCTTCTTCTTCTTTTCCTTTCGTGTGTCTTCTAACTATGTTTTTTCTCCTCAAGCGATTCTGCAACAACCTATACAGCGAAGATTAAAGGTTTTGGCTTTGGTAGCGGGTCGTTGTTTCTACGGAACATGTCACCAAATGCAACAATGGCGGGAGTTTTTTTTTTTTTCTACATTGAGAAACATTTTTTTTTATTAAGAATATGTTTTACTTCATTTAAATAGGATAATGTTTAGGTTGAGTCTGGTTGATTACTGAGCCTGGAAAATATGTTTCCATGTTTAATTTACTTTTCAAAAGATAATTAAATAAGATTAAAAAAACGAGTTTATAAGAGGAACATCTAATGAAAAAATGACTACTTTTTTTATAATTAGATGTAATGAGATTCAAATTATTATAAATACTTACTTTAAATTTATTAAATATTTATTTCAATTATATTATCCCTCTTAATGTTCACTAGTTATATTAGTTTTATCACTTTTGGTTTGTTTATTGATATTTCATTAACATTAAAAAATAAAAAATAAACCTAAAACATTAAAAGAACGGACAATTGAAATTATGAAAGAATAAATTACTTTAATTAATTACAGTTTGCAATAAAATAAATTTATAATAATTATCTTTAATTAATAAGTTGATAATGTAATATGTATTTAAAAAATTATCTATGTATAATTTATTTTACGAGTAATTTTTAAATAGTTATCATAATATGTTCCTTCAATCTCCCTCTTAGTTGTTTATTATAAGGTCAACAATTTTTTAATATTTTTTTATTTATCTCTTTACTATTTAGTTTTTAATCTCTTATCTTCGTCTCTTTATTTTTTTTATTTAACTTTAAACAATATTTAAATTTACAAAAGTTTAAATTAATTAATTAATTAGAATTTAATAGTTGAACAAAAAATTATCAAATGTACTATAAGAAAAATATAGGGCAAACTTTTATTTTTTGGAACCTAAATTGAGTCCAATCGAAGTGAATAATATCTGCTCCTATATATTATGCTTAATTCTCCATCAAATACTCATTATATTCTTCAAGAGACATAACTCTCTATTTCTTTAATTTTTTTCTTATCCCAAAGCTTTAAAATCATCACTTTTATTTTTATCCTATAATAAATTTATTTTATCTCCCATTTCTATCTAATTTTATTATTGTAAGCATATTTAAGACACATACTTATTAAAATATATGAATTTAACAAACTATAATATTATGATATATTTTAACTTAAAACTAATTTATATATTAGATATTAATTAATAGGTATATAAATCATATTTGAGAAATTGAAATAAGTGTTTTTGGATAGTATATATAAAATATGAAAATGATAAAAAAAATAATTATAAGCTAAAACTAGTTTATATATATATATATATATATATATATATATATATATATATATATATATAATTAACCGGGAACGTTTTTATAAATTAGTTTATCTAGAAAGTTATTAAGAATAAAGAATTTATCTTTTCTTTTCTTTTCTTTTCTTTTCTTTTCTTTTCTTAAAAGTGCTTATGCTCTTAATAGTCGACTTACAAGTTTACAAAATAAATATTTGAAATGAAATGAAATGAAATATTTGTGTTCCCAAATGTTTTTAGCGATGTGCATGCATGTGAAGGTAAAGGGTCATGATGTGATGTTTTATTCTCGTCATCACCTTTTTTATTACATTCATATCCTTCAATAAACTCTTAATTTAAATTTTCACTTCACCATTATCACATATTATATTTGGTTTTGAGGATAAAGTAAAAGAAAGGAAAGAAATAAAGTGTGAAAATGACTTTCAGGTTATTTGGTAAAAAATAGTTTTAATAAAAAGGACACACTTATTTAACAAAATAAAAAGTATAAAGAAAAATAAGTTTCTTATATCAGCATACATATATGGATAATATTATTTGTATGATTAGGGGCTTTTTCTTTCTTTCTTTCTTTTATATATATATATATATATATATATATATAAAAGAAGTGTGCTTTATTTTAAGAATGAAATTAAAGATTTATTTTTAATTTTTATAATATAACCATTAAAATAAATTATATTATAAAAATATATAATAGATTAATTATATATAACGAATCTTATATATTTAAGAGTCCAAATCAAATCTAGTTTATATATATATAATCTTTTAACTCATCAATATATTCATGAATTTTATATTATTTAGAAGTTAAAATAATTTATATATGCATTTTTTTCTTAATATATGAAACATCTTTTAAAAATAAAATTGACTCAGATAATAAAAAATTGAAATTTATTTTTCTTTAACTAAAAATATGTTGTCTATTTATAAAAAAATTTAAAAAACTGAATTATCAATTTTTAATTATTCTTGGATTATTTTTTTCACACAAATATGTTCTTAATTAGTTAAAAAAATCCAGGCAATAAACATAAATATGGTAAATTAATAATAAACTCTATTTTTATCTTGTAAATTTTGAGAAAATAAAAAGTCATTAACAAAGGAATAAAATAAGTTGCATAACCATTATTTTCTCCCCACACTTCAATAACTAGGTGGGAATAGAAAGAAGACGAGTCAACCTACTTTTATTTTAAGGGTGCATTTGATAAGAATAAGTAAAACACAGGAAGAATAAACACTTAATTAGTTATAGTATAAATTTTTGTCATGTTTATTGTTTGGTGCAATAAATTCAAGAGAATATACCAATTATCTTAATAATTTTTTTTAATATTAATTATCTTATCCCAAATTATACCGTGTTAAGTATGTAATTATGTTAAACATTAAAAATAAAATATTGTTCATAATAATCCATAAACTTTCTATAAAAAAAAAAAATACTTAGAAAAGGGTGTGTGTTGGATACAGCGGGAGCATTTGCATGGTTTTATGAATCGCTTAACTCTTTTAAACTACGCCTTTAACTTGATGGTTTTAAATTGCTGCATTGAAAAAGAAGAAAATGTAGGAGACGCCATGGCATTTATTCTCACACGGATTCCACACGAGATAGAAGGAACCCTTTTCCACGACCCATTCACAAGGAACAATATTAATGATCTATCGAAAAACGTTTGTTGAAAGTACAATGCCAGAATTCCATATCGTCCCACAGATAGGAGATCAAATAATTGGAAGAAAAATTCCACATTTTCTTTACTCAGTTCCCATTTATAGAAACATGTTGTATCCAAAGCAAGGTTTTATAACCACAGATTCATCCACAGCACAATTATACACAAACAAACCTTTTAACCTTTCACATCTGAAATGTCTCCTCTCTTGCCTCACACGTGCACTGGAACTTATTCTCTCTTGGAACCTCTCCACACTTCCACTACCACTCTTGTTTATCACTATAAATAACCATTGTAAGGTCTTGAGACTTTGAAAAGCGTAAACCTTGTGTCTTGAGACATTTTGTTGTACCTCACAGTACTGCAATAATTCCCATATTATTGATTCTGTTTGTTGCAGCTAATGGTAAGAGGAGGCACCACCAAAGCAAACTTGTTGCTTCTGGGGTAAGTTAATTATCATGATCCATTCAAAGGCATCATTAAGTTGTTGTCACATGAAATACTACATAGTTTTTATCATGTAATCTTGCTGTCTGGTTTGTAGAGTGTATTTCCACTGAATCAATATTTCTTTACATGGTTCATTTGAATGTTTGATGGAGAGAATATTTGATAGGCATAGCCCTTTTTAAGATTGTTTATTCTATTTTGTGGGGAACTTGAAAGATCAAATCTTTAATTGCAGGGGAGCTAAGAGAGCAAAGAGTGGACTGAGCAAATTCTCTGGCACTGCCCAGGCAGCTGCTGCTGCTGCAGAAAGCCCTGGAGGAGTCTCAAAGAGTGGTGGGAAGATAGAGGATTCATCTTGGTGGGTCCCACACCCTCGCACAGGAATTTACTTTCCAAAAGGGCATGAGTGGGTGATGGATGATGTTCCAGAGGATGCAGCTCGTTTAAACCAGACTTTTTGGTTCAGAAACGTTGATGGTGTTGACAACCCCAGACACCAATCTTAGTGTCCCAACACAACATTCTGCAAACTGCTACATGATCTGAAATCATGTAGTCATGTCACACATTGTTAACCCTTTTCCATGTATAAGAAGTAGTATATATAGAATAATGATCTCTAAACATGTAACAACTTCTCCTGGTTGAGGTTGCAGCGACTAGTTAGTTGATCGAGGGCAATTTGGTTGTGTAAGAAGTAGTTGCGACTTCTTAACTTCTTAACTTAACCATGCATAAGGATTATTATATGTATAACAAGTTTCTTAAGATATATGTATCACACAAGTTTGTAAAAGTCCCATGCCTTTTTATTCTGTTGCTGTTGGTACAGTTACGGAGTACGTATACTCCACATAATCGCATCTGGATATGATTCTAATTTACATTTTACATCACCAACTTTGGCATAAGATGGAAAGTATTTTGAAGTTTTCGTGAAGGAATAATATGAAAGCCTAGTTTGTGGTGCAGCATTGGACTTTGCGTTGCTCCCATTCATAATTAAGGCTATTGTTTCTGAAGCCGGAGTGTGGAATATTGAATGTAAAACGAAAAATGCTTTTTAATCATGACAGAATTTATGCTAGATTCTAATGTTATCTATCTCACACTTGATTAACAACCTCTTCCAGTGTTGTAATGTCTCAGAAAAAAGTGATGTGTTGTTGAAACTTGAAAGAGTTATGTTATGAAATATTCGAAATTGCATTGTCATTTCGTAATATTATAAGCAGCAGGGTATTCAAAGAAATTTTCTTGATTTTGAGTGAGATTGGGATCCAAGGACTGACTGAAGGGCATGGAGAGTAATTAAGACTCGTGATTAAAGACAATCTATACAAACTATCTTCCAAAATATCTACAAAGCTTATCCTTTTGGTCGATATAAGGTTTACAATGCATAGTTTGAAATGGATTCTTTTCACATCTAGGCCTAAAATTCATCTCCAGTTCACAATCTATTGCATTGACGTAATAATAATAATAATAATAATAATTAGTATTATTATATCTAAATATATAATTATTTTTCCAAATAATCAAATGATTTCATTGATAATATTCTTTTATATTATTGTAGAGTATCATAATAATGTTTGCTAAATTAAATTACCCATTTACTGGATATAACTTAAATAGTCTCAATTAACTTTTTATTTATTATTAGATTAATTCTAATTCAATTTAATCTAAAAGATAATAAGTTTGTATTTTAAATTAAAATAATTTAATTTGATCAAAATTATTAGATAATACTAATTAAAGTGGCCAAAATCGAATACTAAGTTTAATATAGTTCTATTGATCAAATAAAGAATCATGATAGTCCAATTTAATTTATATTTTAAAATAGATCAAAAATTTTAACATAATTTTTTCTTTTAAAATAATAATATATTTATATTAAAATAAATAATTAAAAAATATTTATATAAAAATAAACATATATTTTTTAATTTTAAATTATATTAATGAAATTAATTTTTATTTAAAATATAATAATTTAATATATAAATTATAAAAAAAATTATCAATTCAATTTTAAAATAACAATTAATTTTAATTATTAGAGCTTAAAATAAATGATTGTTAAATAATTAATCTAATATTTACTTAATCTCTTATTAAATTAATTTATAATATATATATATATATATAATAATATTACTTTTTATTTTAAAAAATTATTATTATTTTTAAAATAGACCAAAAACCTAGGAAAGCTTATCTAAATTTATGTAAGTAATTATCTAAACAAGTCATACTAACATATACCTTATTTAATTTAAATCATAAAATTTTATGATTTGACTTTAATGACTTGATTTATTTCTTTTTGAACCATCTCATTTTTAGGGATGACAAAATGTATTAGGTCTGACGGGGTAGTATGCTAGCCTGCTACAAATACTGACGATGCGGATTAATGTTTTAACCCGCTAACCTGTCCTACTAAGTCTTTCACCTTGTTGTGACTACGTCTAATTAATACAAAAAAATTATAATACTATTAGTCATAAAGACAATATATAAAGTAAAAATTTATAATTTTTTTTTAAATCTCTCGTTTTCAAACATTCTCCTTATTCAAACACAAGTTTTTTTCTCATTCTTATTTCTCATAATCTTCTCTTTATTCATTTAAAACATTGATGATTCTTATCCTTATAACTTAAATTAAAGATATAAAAATTACTCAAGGAAGAACAATATAAAGTTGTATCAATATTTAAAAATTTTAATATAAAAAATATAAATTTTACAAATTTTGACGTTATATATATATATATATATATATATATATTTATTATTTATTGACAAATAAATCATAATCTTATTATTAAATTTATTAAAAAATTTAATTTAAAAAAATTTACCTTGTCTTATCATTTACATGTTAAAGATTGAAGAGACTAAAATAAGATAAACTAATCCGTTTTATCATCAATTATTATTTTATTTATTTAATTATTTTATTAATTAAATATATATTAATAAGACATTTAAATTTCAAATAATTATTTTTCATATGAATAATTTTGTCCAAAAATCCTATAACATGAATTGGAGAGACTATATTATAATAAAAAAAATATAAACTATTTCTATATACATCGTTTTTATTTACTCGTTCATCGGTAGTCATTTTCATTTTTTAAATGACATCAAATCCATTAACGATGAAAATATCCGGGTGTCTGACAAGTTACATAAAAGAAGTATTACACGAAATCATTATTTAATTATTTTATCGGTTTAATCTACAATTTCATTTTCTGTGATATGTTTTGGCCTCATCGAAACTTATCGGAAAAAGAAAAGAATAAAAGAGATTGGATTAGTGGAAGAATCGCCGAGACTGTTACCCTTCTCCCTTGAACTTGCCATTGCCTTTGACCTCTTTCACTGTCCCTTTTCTCCAATCGCCTCATAACTCTTCACTCGCACGCGAGGGAGGACCGCTGAATCGTGATCCGCTGTGTATGACGAGTGCTTCGGAGCTATTTCACACCAGAAGGCATCGATTGGGACGAAATGCTCTCGATCTAGGGTTCGATACACAACTCCACGCTGCCGATTCTCTCCGCCGCCACTACCATGTCCGCCGCCTCCGTCACCACCCGGTATATGCATTTCTTTTTGTTATTGCCGTATTCCTTAAATCAATTACCATAATTGAGACTTAAAATTTCCGAAGATTTGTATGCATGGTATCTATTGATTTTTTTATTAGCAGCGTAAAATTGATGTTATTGTATTGAGGTTGTACCGATTAGATTTTTTGAGGTGAATTTTGTGGTTTCTAGGAGCGTGCATCTGATAGAATCGATGGGAGGAGGTATCGGCGGTCTTTCGTAAATGACAGCTTTGATTCTCAAGAAAATGTTAGAGGCAGTGTTGGAGGGAGTGTTAGCGAGAGACTACCCGTGGGTGTCATTCTTGCACGAGCAAGACTCCTTCAGAGGTTGAGAGGGGAACCTCTTTCTAGAAACAGGTGAGCTTTGTACCTCTATTTATGTTAATCTATCTACATTATTTTATTGCCCCACCCTGAAATAAATATATTAATGGTTTGGCGCAAAAAATTTCCTTTCAAGTAAGTTTTTTTTTTTTTTTTTCATTATTTGAAAGTTTCTAAAATGGAACAATACCTTGTAACCTTGTAAGAATCCTTTTCATCTGTTAAGCTATATGGATATTAGACGAGATTGTATTACTCTGTCTCCGTTAATCATGGTCATAATCATGGTCATAATCATGGTCATGATTTTACTTGTTAGTTGAATTCTACTATTCCTGTGACACTAAGATCAATGTAAATTCTGTGTTGAGATGCTTATGTCTTTAACAAACATTATCTGATTATTTAATACTGATAAGTGTGGCTTTAGTGTTAATATGATAATTCTTTATTGATCTCGTTACTTCAACTGTGGAGTAGACTACCACTTTAGCCTACATTAACTTCTTTCCCTTGATGAAAAACTTGAAAAAAAAAATCTCCTTAGAAATGGACGTTTGGTTTTGTTGTCTTCGATTCTTTTTGTCTTGATGTTTTGATGAAACACTTGGAAAGAAAAATCTCCTTGGAGATGGACATTTGGTTTTGTTGTCTTCGATGCTTTTTGTCTTGAAGTGTGTGCATCCATGCCTAACTTATAGTTTAGAGATGTTAAACCCGACGATCCAATTTAGACATGATATCACCTGTCAAGTAAAAAAAAAAAGTATGATCCACCCTTTCTTATATTTTTCAACAAGCCATAATTTTTCGTCTAGTTTCACCTGTGTTAGGCTAATAGATTAATAGACTAATCATTGGTCTGATTAATTTTATTTTTTAAATCATTAACATGTTTATATAAAAATAAATAATTAAAAAATTGTTTAAATAAAAATAAAAAATATATTTTAAATTATATAAATGAAACTAATTTTTATTTTAAATATAATAATTTAATATATAAATTATAAGGAAGAGATACATTTAATCTTAAAATAAAAATAAAAATTTATTTTTCATTATCATCATTTCTTAATAATTTATTAATTTAAAATAATAATTTATCTTAATTATTATATGATGGTTTCTTATATTTATTTTTAAAATAAATGAATCTTTTATCAAATTAATTTATAATATATATATATATATATATATATATTTGTAATAAAATAATATTATTTTTATTTTTATTTAAAAAAATATTACTATTCTATAAAATATATTGACTTATAATTTTATAGATTAACTTGATCTAAATTTATATAAATTATAACCTAAATGAGTCCTGTAAAAATAGGTCTCAGTTTAGCTTTATCTTAATTGATCAATTTTGCGTGTATTTTGGATCGGCCATCAAGTGATACGCTAGCAGTATATATGTTATAATATTATAAAGTGGAGACTACTCTTTTGGTCAATCTGGTGGTGGTGCCTACTTTGCATTCAAATGAAAAACATGCAATTATTAGTTTAGGTTTTTGTATTTGTTGAATTTCTCGTAGAACTTACTTGCTTCATGTAGAACTTATCTACTCCCGAAGGAGATGCAGCTTTAGTAGGCTAATAATAAGATTTTTTTTTTTTAATCATCTTTCATGGATCGATGTATCGTAATAAATGCTCTCCAACTGATGTCGCAGTCCAAGTTCTTTGTGTATTGTTGATTATTGTTGAAAAGATCAGCCATTGCCCTTTGATTCAATTTGAAATTTAAGTTTGTTTTGTTTCCTTAGGCAATATGGTAGAACTTCAGTGGGTGAGGATCGGGAAAGTGAATCATCAAGTGCAATTGCAACTGGGGCCTCTCTGGTTACTGACTTGACTTCTCAAATGGGAAGGTCCCAGTTCTTGCAGGACCTAAACAAAAAGCCACCTGGCCTTACTCAGGAGGCCTTGAACTGTTTGGATCATGAAGTTTTTAGCAGCAGCAAGATAGGATTGGAGTCCAGGGTACTGCAGGACTGTGGTATATGCTTGGAATCTTTCATAGATGGAGATGAGCTGATACGTTTGCCATGTGGACATAAATTTCACTGTGTTTGCTTGGATCCATGGATTCGCTGCTGTGGAGATTGTCCATACTGTCGAAGATGTGTGGTTGTAAATACTCACTCACCATAAATACGACCAAGAGTTGTTTTTTTAATTAATTGACTTTGTCTTCTGCCGTGCTTGTATGGAAGGATAAGAATACTGCAATGGAGCTGGTTTTTTGTGACCACGTTGTACTTATTATGAAATTATGTAGTTTTTCTTTCTTTCCTGATAGGATATCTAAATAGGACAGTATTATGAGCCATGTTCTTGTAGAATAATAACAGTCCCGTAAAAAGTAATTTTATTATTTGTTTTCTTCTCCAGAGAGTTATTATTCATTTGTTTGAAAATTCATGTATTACATTTACTTAATTCGAATATTTTTATTGAGACATGAATGATGTTGTTAATTAATATGATAATGACGAAACTCACAAATTAAAAGGATGATAAATATTTCAATCAACAATATTTAACTACAATCTTAGTTTAATTATTTAACATTTTAAACATAAAATTTAACGTCACAAATATTAAAAACAATTAATTTTAATTGTAAACTATAATCAATTTATGCGTATAAAAGAATTGTACATTATAATATTTATATCTACGATATAGTTTTGTGGATAAACTAATATTTGAATTTTTTTAAAATAAATGTCCGGTGCAAATAATATCTGACGAGCATATATTGAATATGGATGTAAAATACAAATTTTATAGATGTACCCTAGTAGTCATGGCCCAACATGTATGCACCTTGCTCCCACAACGAACTAGAAGTAAGAAAGTAAACAAGAGTTTTAGGTTTTAGGTTTGATGTTACTTTAATATTAAATTATTTATATAGCATATAAAGTGAGTATACATACGACGATACTAGTATGTTACTAATGCCATTATCTCACATTTACTGATATAATATATTTTCAAACAAAATAACAATGCATTTTACGCAAAAATATGTATATTTGTTGCTTTCTGCAGAAAATTACGAGAAATAAGAGATATAGATACTAAAAAAAAACATCAATATAATTTAAATTCAATAAAAATGACGTGGTTTTATATAAAAATACAAAAAAAAAACTAAAAACACACCAAATATATATAAAAAAAGTTTTATATATGATATTGAGATCTCGGTTAATAAAATAATCTATAATTAATTCTAACATGAACTTAAAAAATATATAGGAGAAAAAAAATAATCTACCATATTATTCATTCTGTTTAGGGGAGAGAAAAATATATTTAACCTCACTATAAGATATGCATTTTAATTTAATGTATAGGAGTAAGTCGTGGTGGTATTAATTTTTTAAATTATACATACATTTGTACACTATAAAAACTTAAAAAATATTTAAATATATAAAATTTTATAAATTCTAGAGTGCATTCAACTGTCCACGTTTAACAATATTATTGTATGAAATGCCTATGTCATGCATGGTTTGATAAACTAACAAATATTAATAAAAATATATTAATGAAAACAGAAAATGCCATATTAATTTGTAGAATAATTGCTTACATTATTTTAATACAATACATCATAATAAACTAAATTTAATTAAAGTAATAGCTAATTTAACACTAACTTAATTTTTTATATTATTTTCTTTTTAATGATTTTCATCCAGAATCACTTAAAAAAATTAACAACCATTTTACAAAAACCAAAAAGTAAATTCAATTACTTAACAACAGAATATTATAGTTGTGGACTCACTGAATTATTTATTTCGAATAAAAAAAATGAAAAGGCCATGAGAAACATATAGAAGTGTTTATGATTGGATGTACCTAGGAATAAGAAGTGTTGTCGGCGAAGAGATTGAAGGTTATCTGTTTTGTCATTGTCGTAATCGCCGAAACCTGAACAAAGCAAAATAAAAACAAAACCCACCTCCATTTGCTTCATAATTCACCCACTTCTTCCAACGTATCATTGTTTGTTCCAAGAAACATCAGCAAAAACAATAATTTTAATTTTTTTGAGAGAAATAAGAAGAAAAAAAGTGAAATATCTTTCAAATTTAAAAATATAAAGTACTATTTTTATGATATTTTAATGGGATTTAATATAATTTTTAATGATTTGACTAAATGAATTCACCGAAAATAAATGAGAAGGTATATTGGGCATTTAATTGATTTAACGCGGGGTTGTGGCTCCTATTCCTTGTTTGGACCATAGACGCAACTGTTGACTACGCGTTATGAATGAAAGACAAAAAACTTGAAGATTGGCCACAAAGCCAAACAAACCATAAAGTCAACCCGTGTTGGTGTTGTTGGTTACATCTTATTAATGAACAGAGGACAGCACAAACATTCTAAACACCAACAAATAAATATTTCTTATTTCTTGGATTTTCAGTTACAATTGTGTCACCCACTTCTTCAATTATTTATTTATTTTATTTGTTATTGTAAAACAATAAATGATTTTAAAATCAAAATTATATTGAACAATTAATATATCTTGAAAATCTATTGGTTGGCACATTGGCCTGACTTTTTTAAATTAATTATTTGTCATAATTAATAAATCACAAATGATAAGTAATTTTTTTTATTAGATAAATTAATCCTTTTATTAGTAACTACGTTAAAGAGTTAATTATCTTTTCGATTAATTGTTGGCTCATTTTTTGGTTATTAGGTCTTCTAATCTAACTTTAACTGGTTATCCAATCATTTTTTTTTCTCCTTTGTTTAAAGAATAGAAGACAATTTTAACGTTTATTATTTTCCGTTCTCATTTTTTATTAAACTATGTCTAAATTCTATTTACATAAGATGTTTAAGTGCCATAAAAAAATTAATCAAGTTTACTCCTATATTTGATATCTAAAAAAATAAATAAATTCAACTATATATTTTTTAATATTTTTTCACCGACATAGTGTACATTTCTTAGAAAACAAAAAACACAAAAACACCATTAACATTCAACAAATATAAATTAAGTTTGATATAATAATTTTTAGCGAGACCAATATTTAACAAGTTAGATTCGCAATTCATAATTAGATAAAGTAAAACGTTGATGTGCACTCGTCTAATAATTTGTGTTAAATGCACACACTTTTAATAGATTATTTATAGTAAAAATATAAAAATATTAAAAAATTATAACCTGTTTTTTTAATAATTTGTTTATGGTATTGATGTTATTCCTATTATAGTCAATAACGATGCTCAGATAAAAAGTATTAAACTATCCTTAGTTCATTAAGCACGTTATGTATGGGTTGGTAATGATAAGAGTTAAATAATTTACGAGGCTTATATTTTGTATTTTTAAGAGTTAAATAATATTGAATTTTTGTTTTGTGTGGTAAGGAAAATGAAAAAGAAAAAGAAAAGTAATTAATTTGAGTAAAGGAAGGGAAAAGAAAAAGTGAAATTTAAAAGCAGAGAAGAGAAGTTGTTTGGATTGTAATTGTGTAATATACGCGTCAACTGGACAACAATAAGCATATCAATATCATATCATATCATATCTTTTTCTCTCTACTCTTTCTCTTCCAAACGCGCCATTCCTATTTCTCTTTCTCTCTCTTCTCGTTCTATTCTGCTTATACCAGACCTAATTTCTGAACCCAATAGGAGAAACAAATTGTGATAAGGAGCGCACTCGGATTGAAACAGATCATGCTGCGTCTGTGCTACGGTCCTCTCGATTGCTGCTTCCGACGCCGTGGTGCCGCAGACGGACTTCTCTGGCACACCGACTTGAAACCCCACGCCTCCGGTGACTTTTCCATCGCCGTCGTTCAGGCCAATTACAGTCTCGAGGATCAGAGCCAAGTCTTCACCTCCCCCTCGGCCACCTACGTTGGCGTCTACGACGGCCACGGCGGCACCGAGGCTTCTAGATTCGTCAACAAACGACTCTTCCCTTATTTGCATAGTAATTCATCCATCCATCAATGAATCCCTCTCTTTTCTTTACTTTAAGATCTAAAACCAGTTCAACCCTTACTCATTTCTTTCTCTCATTTATTTATTATTTGTTTGTTGTTGTTGAGATAATCAAAACATTGAATATCTTTGATTTAAAATAAGACCATACTCTTTTTTTTTTAATTTAATAGTTTCGTAGTCTGTTTTGTGAATGAAGAATATTTCTGGGAAATATGATATTGATATTCTGGTATGGAGTACTGTTTTTTTTTTTATTATTATTATTATTAATTTTCAATATAATTAAATGAAATATTAAATGTCTTTTATGTTTTTACAGATAAGAGAATATTTTTTAATTTAGCAATTTTCTTTATTGAGTACGAAGAATATTTCTGGAAGGTATGGATTATATGATATTGATATTCTGGTGGTATTGATTGACTGGGTTTTCATTTTCCTTTGTTTTTTGATATGTAGAAACTAAAAAAGTGATATGTCAACTGTTGTTGTCTTCTCAGTTATGCTTCCTCAAATAGAAGAAGCAAAAGGTTTTGGTCACTCGTTAGTAGGAAGAGACATTTCCAATTGATTGGAAAATTGCGATCAATAACTGCCTTTTCCCATTCTGATTCCACTTTTTTTTAGTCTTTACCGAATTTAACATAGGTCATGTTAATTCGTATTAAATTTGTAAACAAACAATTTGAATTATGTAATCACCATGCTCACTTGCTTGTTGGTTTTTATTTGTAGAATTTGCCACTGAGCAAGGGGGTCTGTCTGTGGATGTCATAAAAAAGGCATTTAGTGCCACAGAGGAGGAATTCCTGCATTTGGTGAAGTTATCCTTGCCTATTAGTCCCCAGATTGCTTCTGTGGGATCCTGTTGCCTTTTCGGTGCAATTTCTAATAATGTGTTGTATGTTGCCAATCTCGGAGACTCTAGGGCTGTTCTTGGCAGGAGAGACGTAGAGAGAAAGAACAGTCCAGTGGTGGCACAGCGCTTGTCAACTGATCATAATGTAGCTGATGAGGAAGTGAGAAGAGAAGTTGAAGCTCTCCATCCGGATGACTCTCACATTGTAGTTTATAGCCGAGGAGTTTGGAGGATTAAGGGCATTATTCAGGTATAGTATAACTAACTGATATGGTGTACGTGTACCTTTTGGTATCTTAGTTTACCATTTTTCTTTTTCTTATTTACAAAATTGTGTATGAGTTTAAACTTCATGTTGAATATATAGAGAAATCTGTTAATATATCCATGATGTAGTCTATGATCGCCATTGCGAAATGTGTCTGGTTGTAGCATAATCTCTTTAGGTGTTATTTACAGTTATTACCTGAGGAAGCCCATTCATCTATTTTTTGTGTTTCTTCTTTCAATCTTTCATTATAATACCTACTTGCAAGGTTATTACGAACTTTATATGTTTCTGCCATTCTACACAAAGATGACATAGAATCTGAGGTTTCCTGAAACTGGTTAGAACTAAGGACTTGGATGTCACCTTTCATGTGTCTTGCTGCCTCCCTTGAAGGAAAGACTCACAGTTTACGCCTGGTTTATCTCATTTCACAAGCATGGGTTCAGGATAGCTAATCTAGACGGTTTTGGTGTTGCAGGTGTCAAGGTCTATTGGTGATGCGTATTTGAAGAAACCTGATTTCTACCGAGACCCAGTTTTTCAGCAATATGGAAATCCTGTTCCTTTGAAGCGTCCTGTAATGACGGCTGAACCATCAATCATTATTAGGGAGCTTGAGTCAGAGGATTTATTCTTGATATTTGCCTCTGATGGCCTGTGGGAGCAATTAAGTGATGAAGAAGCAGTTCAGATTGTTTTCAAGTATCCAAGGGCTGTGAGTGTCCAAAAAACTGTTATTCGGGAGCTGCATATGATGCTAAACTTTTTACATATTTACAAGGATTTTGATTTGTGTTTCCGGTACTTGCAGGGAATTGCCAAGAGACTGGTGAGGGCTGCTCTTCAAGAAGCTGCAAAGAAGAGAGAGATGAGATATGATGACATAAAGAAAATTGACAAAGGAATAAGACGACACTTCCATGATGATATCACTGTGGTTGTAGTCTATCTTGATCACCATGCGGGTTCCTCTAATGGTAGATTCAAGCAAACTGCTGTTGGCTGTACAACTGCCCCTGTTGATATTTTTTCCCTAAATACGGATGTAGCAGAAGCAGAAAAGAGAATGCTTAGTGCAGTTGCCTAAAGAGTTAAATCGTTTCAAAGGATTATACACTGACATTATTTGGGACGAAAATATTTATAGGTGATGATTAATATTGTTAGTAAACGAGGGAAATTATCGAGAGAGCATACAAATTACTGCATAGATATAGTAGCTGGGAGTTACTGACATATTCTTTCTGATGCAGATATGCATATGTATAGTTGTGAAGTCTCTATTTTTTGGGTTTGATGGTATCAATTTTGTTTTTATTTGGAAAGAAAGAAAATAAAATTACATTGATTGGTTCGTCATCCCCGTAATGTTCATAGTGAATAGTGTGGAGTTTTGAGGCAAGCAGTGGAGACATTTCACCGACTAACAAGAATTTCATGATTGGCGAGTGGATACTTTTCACAAGCAAGCACATTCTTGTTGCATGGTTCGTGTATTGATCACAACCACGAAATCAAAGTTCTCTTGAAATGTTGGTTGTGTCATTTTCCCACCATAACAGGCGGAAAATTTGCGATTGACGCGTACTCATTGATTTTTCTGAGACATTTGACTTCAATGTTCTCACGTTGAAGAAATAACTCACCGCTCGAAACTCGTTCTTCACAAAACACTGACAGATAATGTCATTATCTTATAGAACGTTGAGTTGTGATAAAAATATTTCCAAAAATCCCTCTCTTGTATTGAATATGATAGCACAATATATACATGAAATACAGAAACATTCTAGGCTATAATTACGCTAACCATTACAGTCGGTATCCTAAATTTGTCTATTAACAGATATGACATTAATGTGCATCACTGTCATGCCAAGCTAAATATGGAAAAAATTAATCATGTAGAATCATGGCATGATACGGTATTTGTAATCGTATATTCTATGTTTATCACCCTCCCTCAAGATGGAGTATGAAGGTTATGAATGCCCAACTTGCCTAAAAAAGAACCAAATTTAGTGGCGCCAAGAGATTTGGTGAAGAGATCAGCCAGTTGATGATGAGTGGACACATAGGAGGGTTGGATATGATTGTGTTGTATTTCATCACGAATAAGATGACAATCCACTTCAATATGTTTTGTCCGTTCATGAAACACAGGATTCTTGGCAATGTGAAGGGCGACTTGGTTGTCACGGTAGAGAGTCATAGGGTCGGTGTGAGTAATGCCTAGGCTCGAAAGAAGGCCTTGAAGCCATTTCAACTCACATGTCGTGTTGGCCATAGAACGATATTACGCCTCAGCGGATGATCGAGAAGCTGTATGTTGCTTCTTGGTTTTCCAGGAAACGGGGATTGACCAAGGAAAATAAACCAACCGGTGAGAGATCTTCGAGTGAGAGGACAACTTGCCCGATCAGAGTCACACCAACCATAAAGACGAAGGTCACTCTCTCTTTTTAAAAGCACACCCTGACCCGGCTGCCCTTTAAATAGCGTACCACGCGGAGTGCAGCCCGCCAATGCTCCTGACGCGGTTGGTGCATGAATTGAGATAGGACATGAACACTGTAAGATAATTCGAGGTCGTGTAAAATACAAGTAAATAAGGCGACCGACGAGACGTCGATATTGACTCGGGTCGAGAAAGTAGTTCGCCATCGGCCAATGCTAAACGATGATTTTCTTCGATTGGCGTGGACACGAGTTTCCCTCCAAGCAATCCTGCTCGGCTATGATGTCCAACGCATACTTCAGTTGACACAAGAAAATTCCTGTAGGAGATCTGGCAACCTCCACCCCAAGAAAGTATTTTAATTTCCCTAAGTCCTTCGTACGAAAACATTGATGAAGATAATCTTTGAATTGCGCAATGTCTTCATGATGATTGCCAGCAATGACTAGGTCATCCACGTAAACTAACACAACCAGTTCGACATCTCCTTTGCGAAAGATGAACAAGGAGTGATCAGACGAAGAACGTTGAAACCCATATTGAACAAGAGCAGTTAAGAGCTTGGCAAACCAACACCGAGGAGCTTGACGAAGACCATAAAGGGACTTGCGGAGACGACACACCATACCCTTTTGAGACACCAAGAACCCTGGCGACATTTTCATGTACACATCTTCCTTAAGATCGCCGTGCAGAAAAGCATTATGGACATCCATTTGATGGAGTTCCCAGTCTTTGGCTACTGCCACTGCCAACACTGTTCTCGAGCTGTGTGGATATATCTCTGATACAAATACCGTATCATGCTCTGATACCATGATAAAAATATTTCCAAAAACCCCTGTCTTGTATTGAATATGATAGCACAATATATACATGAAATACAGAAACATTCTAGGCTATAATTACGCTAACCATTACAGTCGGTATCCTAAATTTGTCTATTAACAGATATGACATTAATGTGCATCACTGTCATGCCAAGCTAAATATGGAAAAAATTAATCATGTAGAATCATGGCATGATACGATATTTGTAATCATATATTCTATGTTTATCAAGTTGGCATTTTGTTGGCCTTATCGTCAATATGAATTAGGACTTGAGTGTGTCCCAACCATGAATGTAATTAACTAACAAAGCTTATATTAAAACCAAGCAAATAGACAGAATGCCGAATGATGGAAGATGCCTTGCTTTCTACGGCAAAATCCTATCATTCTTAATAAACCCCTCCTCTTCCATTCGTACATTTTATTTAATCATTAAATTAGATGAAAATCATTGACCACTAATAATAAGATAATAAAATAAATCATTTTTTAATATGAAATTTTATTATGGTGAGAATTTTTTCATAATAACCATTTAATTATGTTTTAACTATTGATTTATAATTTTCAATAATCCTTTTGATACGCTCTTAGTTAATAAAATAATAAATATTTATATTAAATAAGTTAAATTTTAAGATATAATTAACCGGTTTGTGATAATGTGGTATGACTAATAATTTGGGTTTGTTAACAAGTCAACGGTGATCTTGGGCACTCTCCAAACTACTGGTTTTCATTTCAAGTGGTCTTTCTCGTGTATGCGTCAACTTGGAATGTAGTACTTCTCTGTGTCACATCCTATGCAACTATTCTAATTTTCAACGTTTGATAATGCACACTTTCTTAGACCACAAATTTGGCGTATTTACCATTCAAGCTATTCCGAAAATTAACCAAAACTTATCTTCCACCAATTCATTAATGCTTTGTTCGGAAGGAAGAAAAGAAATACAAGAAAGAGAAGTTTGAAGGTAAGAAATAAATTTTGTTCGATTGAAAGGAAATAAAAGAAAATTGAAGTAAATTCATTCGTAATATTTGATAATAGAATATAATTGATTACGTGTTAATTATTAATTTATACTTATACGTAATGTTTCTGAAAAGATTAAAAGATAATAAATTATATTTTTATATATAATCCTTAATAAGGACTTTTAACAAATAAAAAAAATACATTTTTCTAAGTTATCCTTAGTCATATGATGTGTTGGAGGAATTTTCCTATTTTTTTAATTTATGTCACTAAATATTTATTATTTTAAATTAAATAAATTCTCAATAGTTAATTTTTATTTAATAATTATAATTAATTTATAAATAAATATAGATTAAAACTGATTAGTATATCATGTAGAAACTAGTGGCAAAGAACCAACTGAGAACCAAACTCGAATTGGAGATTATTTCTACAATTAAATATTAGTTATTCTTGTAGTAGCAATTAAACAGACATTTGAGAGTTGAAATTTGCTTATATATGAGTTTAGAGGGAGTTTATGTATATTATATACTGTAATATATTGTCTATAATATACTTACTAATATATGAATTATACTATTGTGATTAAATATTATAACAAAACTTAAAGAAACTCTTGATAAAAAAATTGTTTTAAATATAAAATTTTTAGGTATATAAATTATTCTCCCAACGGTTTTATGATAAATCATAATCAACTGGAGTTAAGAAACAATTACAAGAAACAGTTACATTATTTTATTTAATTGCATTTGTAATGATTATAGGTAAAAGTTAAAGGTGAATATTTTAAAAAATATGTTGGAAGTGTATTTTTCACTCAAACTATATAAAAAATTATATATAGCAATTTAAAGAATCACCTCAATTAAATTTATTTTTTTTAACATTACGGCTTATGGGCCAAAACCTTCACAATACACAAAAGGACTAAGATCGTGTTTAAATAGACTTTGCAAGCCGAGTGTTTATTTATAGAAAAAGATAATTAGATAAGATGAATAAAACTTAAAAATTAATTTATGCACTTTATTTTTTATGAACTCTTTTTGAGTTGCATAAATTAATTTTATACTATAAAGAAGTTTGATTTATTTTCCTGTAAGTATTTATCAAAAGAATTATCTAAATAGAACCTAAGAGAATTGACAAGAGGATGAAGAAGCTTTATAATAAAAGGCTCCAGAGATTCATGGTTTAAGTTGTGACCATTTCTTTGCTATGCGGTCAAGTAATCTGCTCTTTTCATTCTCAGCAAGACGTGGATCAAGGTTGTCAAGGTCTTGAACGAAATTGCATGCCTCATCTCGTAGCTTGAGCTTACAGTACCAATCAACTATGGAGTTGTAAGTATTCTGATTTGGCTTACATCCTTGCTTGATCATATGCCGAACTACATCAATAGCCTCCACAAACATTGAGTCAGCTGCGTAAGATGCTATAAATGTATTGTAAGTTACAACATCCGGAACAGGTGCAGGAGCTTTCATTTCGTCAAATATCCTTTTTGCCTCCCCCATCATGCCATTTCTGCAATATGCATAAATAACTATGTTGTATGAAATAACATCTGGGTCAATACCTTTATCCAGAATTTCCCTCAAAATTTGCTCTGATTTTTGAAAATTTTCCGTGCGGCTATACATATGCATCAAACAATTATATGTAGTCAAACTTAGAGTCAATCCACTCTCATACATGTAGTTTAAAATCTCATTGGCTTTGGACCCCTTCTTCTTCCTCCCATAAATGGAAAGCATTGCATTCAAGGTAGTAATATCCGGCAAGATTCCTCTATTCCTAAACTCCAAAAATGCACGTTCAGTTTGTACTACAAGATCAACCTTGCTATGTACTAGAACAAGTGTGTTCAATAGAACAGCATGCGTTTCAATTTTGCCAGAGTATATTTCCTCTGCTAGAGCCTTCATCCTATCAACCTCTCTTCCATTGGCATAAGCATGAAGCAAAGAAGAATACGTTACCTCATTAGGTTTACATCCACCATCTTTCATTTCCGCAAGGATTTTCTCAGATTGCTCCCAAAGACCTCCTCGAGCCAATGTTGCCAAAACAGCATTGTAAGTAGAAAGATCAGGACTCACTCCAGCCTCCAGCATTTTCTCATAAACAGTCATAGCTAGGTCAAATGAACCACACCTGCCATACGCACTTATCAGTGTGTTGAAGGTGTCCCGCTCCGGCACAAACCCAGCTCTCTTCATTTCTTCAAAAACCCCTGACACTTCAGAGTCCATTCCATTTTGTCCAAACACTGCCAAAAGTGTATTCCAAGTAACAATATCAGGGGAACACTTGCAGACCTTAATCTCCTTGAAAACTCTCTCCATTTCCTCAAACTTTCCTCTGTCACCATACATCTTTATAAGGGCATTAAATGTGCATATATTAGGCTTGCACCCCACCTCTCTCATTTCCTCAAAAACTTGCATGGCAAGCTCATCTTTCCCAGCTTTCACAAACCCTGACAAAAGTGTAGTATAGGTGTAAACATCAGGCTTAATCCCCTTCACCACCATTTTCCTTTTCAGCTCCAACACATCCTCCAACAAGCCACCTCTAACATAAGCTGACACCAACGAGTTGTAAGTAACAACGCTAGGCCGAAAACCATTAATCTCCATCTGTTTCAGAACCTCCATGGCTTCTTTGGGCCGCCTGGACTTGCCATAAACATCCAACAACACGTTATAAGTAACCACATCCGGTGTAAATCCAGCCACCTTAATCTCCTCAAAAAGATCAAGCGCCTCTTGATACAAGGAACCTGCCCTACAACAACTTATAAGGGTATTATAAGTACACAAATCAGGGGCAAGGCCATGGCACTTCATGTCCTGAACAAGTGCAATGATCTTAGTCCAAGGCACGCCCATCTTCCCATAAACATTCAAAATTGCATTGTAAGTAATCAAGGTGGGTTCACACCCCACTTCTTTCATTTTGCCAAACACCTTGAGTGCATCTCTGTATTTTTTATTATTAGCATAAGCAGTTATGAGAGAGGTGTAGCCATAAACATCAACCTCGACGCCGTCGGTTTCTAGGTCGTGCAGCAACGACGCCGCATGGGAAACCCTACCCGTTTTACCGAGAAGGTTGACAATCACGGAAATTACGGAACCGTTCAAGAGCGGAACGAGGTCGTTTCGGGTTCGAATAAAGTCGAAGACGGACAATGCGAGATCGAACTTCTTGTTAAACCCTAATCCCTTGATTATGCCGAGAACGTCCGAGGAGAGAGAGGAGGAAGCGAGTTGATGGAATAGTATAGGGAATATTTGGTGGAAGCTATTGGAATCGAAGGAAGGGTTGATTAGGGTTTGGAGAATCCGGTAAGCTTGAGGGGAGAGGCGGGGTGTAGGGTGGGTGGAGGGGGTGGGGCGTAGAAGATGTGGAGAAGAGGGCTTTTGGTTAAAAAAGAGATCTTGAAGAAGAGGGGTTATAGTTATGGGTGAGGTAGAAGGGGGATTTGGGAATGTAGGGTTTGAGGGTGAGGGTGAGGGGGAGGGTGGGTTTGGGAGGCTAAGAGGGAAAGAGAGTTTTTGTGCCATGGAATGAAGAGGAAGCAATGGAAGACTGTGAAGTGGAGGAAAGGAAACATGTATCTCACACTATTATTATCGTAGATTTTCTAGAATAACATTGGCATTAAAAGACAAAACAAACTTGTAATAATTCATTAATAGTATCAATTATTTGAATGTTCAATTCCTAAATAATTTCATATTATTTTTATACTACGGCCCAACTCAAAAAAGATCAATGCCCAAAATAGAACAGAATATAGCCCAAACAATTCTGGTTTTTTTTTTCATTTACGACTTGCCAGTCGTAACTAGGTTTTCACATTTTCTTTCTGCACTCCCCTAAAATTCTTCGGAACCTTGCATTCGGAATGAGAAAGGATGGGCTAACAAATATCCTAACAGAGCCCTGTGATGATAGCCCATACTTTAAAATGGCATGTGAGTGGGCTTTTGTGGCAAGGTGGCCATCAAACAAATACTATTTTGCATTTGTATCTTATACAATGATGATTTTAACTTGGATTTGTTATTTCTAAGGAAGGTTCCATATTCCATGGAAAAAGTAATAAAGAGGACACTGGTCCTGAACGGTGTTCATTGTCCACCATGTGCTGCAATACCTTCCCTAAAAATAAAAGGTCATTTCATGACAAGAACAAGGGTTTAGACCACAAACCATGTACCCTAGTAAAACAATGGCAGAGCTGCATGCACGATGCATTCAGTGTGGGTGGTGCCAAATGTAACCAATATTCAATATGCATCAAATAATGATAATCATAATCATAATAATAGTTGCCCAACCTGCGGTCCAAATTCACATCTATTATATGAACATGCAACTCTTACAGATGGAAACCCCATAAAAACTAGTTAATATATCTATTTCAATGCTATCAACATGTACATCCAGGTATGTAAATATCATATTATCATTTAACTGATAGTAATGAAGTTATACTTTTTGAATGTTTAATGATAAAAATAGATATTATTTTTTATAGTTTTTTAAACCTGTTTTTTAGTTTATCAAATAATATTATTTAATATCACTATCTGTACCGATAATTATCTTTTGTTGCATGATTTGAACGGTGATATTAATTAAGAAGTAGAGTACCTAGTGTTGTTTATGAGCCATGTTAGGTGGCCAATACCCTCCTAAAATTGCATGATGGTGCGCAGGTGTAGAATACGAACACAGCGTGGTGGACAATAAATGAGACCTCACTCTGCACGTGCAAATGCCCATTTCATGACCTATTAGTAAGTGGCGGATATTGAATAATATATTATTAATAAATAATAAATAAATATAAAAAAAGGGTGAAAAAAATAAAATTATAAATTACATTAGAATTATAAAATTTTAACAAGATTACTATCCTTTTAGATCGAAAAAGATCTGCGGCTGCTTTGAAAGACATATATTGCCTACTAATTTTCTACTATACACTACTGTCAAATCACCATCTATAAATAAAAAAATTGGTGTTCCATTTTGGTCGTTTACAAAATTTGTTAGGTTAACGATAGTCATACTAGTGTTTCGTTCTGGTATATTTAAAGTGTCTCACATAGTTTGAAAATTTAGAAATGAGTTTTTAAGACGAAATGGGCATCAGAAAAATATGGTCAAGATAATGTTAAAAGTAAGGAGATAGTTATGATATATGAATATGGTAAGTATTAAGTGTAAAGGGTGGTTCTCCCTCCTGGTGGCCAAGGCAATAATAGGTTAAGTGAGAGTGAAATGTGATGTTTTGAGTGGGATACTGAATTTCTGAAGAGGGAAGCGATGGTACCACATGGACAGTGTCATAAATATGCATGCATCAATTGCAGGTATCGCCAGGAAGTATAATAAATTTGTCTCCATCTCCGTGCATACCAAGCTTCCTCTGCCGACACTCCTTGGACAACTTCACTTGAGTAATATACCACCACTATTTTAAGGTGCAACCTCGTCACTCATCACTCATCTTCTCTGTGACCACTCATCTCTTCCAACTTCTCACCCTGTCAACTCAATAAATAACACCTCCTAAGACCCTCCTGTTATGCAGGATTGTGCTAAGATAAGACTGTCAGAGAAAAAACCAGCCTCACAAAACTCAAGGCAAAATTGCCTTACACTTCACTTGAGTATTCTTCGTTAACATCATGGCTACTGCATAAACAAAAATGCGTTCCAATATAATATCCAATGTTTTTGTAATCTCTTAACTAATTTTATAAACATTACAGCTAGAAAAACCCTGTATGAAAAAATATATAACAATATATTAGACAATTCACGAGGTAAATCGTTTTTCTTAATGCTAGATTAGTGAAACGAAGAATAAGAAGAGCTCTTGGGTTTTTCTATGAAGGCTCCGAGCATTTTCATGATTAAATTACAAGTTATGGAAGTCAACCATGGAATCTAACTTGTTAATGGAAGGAAGGAAGTCAAACAGATAGTATAAATGAGGCACCATTGTCGAGAATTTTGTTTTTGAATTCTGCCACTGTATCATTTTTAAAGAATTGGATTTCATATAATGCCAATTGAGTAGCCTAGCTTGAAACATCTGCAAATGTAATGTTAATTCTATGAAAAAACAATCAATAAAATTATTAATCCGGAATTAGATTCAGTTTCCTTAAATAAAAACATACACCTGAAAAACTTCATTCGCCCCTGTTGTTCATTCTCTATTTCGGGTTGATTTTGGCCCACCATCCCTGTGAAATGAGGAGGATATTGTAAGTAGAAAGAACACGTCACATTTTCTGGTAAACTCAGAGCTACAAGTTTATATTTTGCGATGAACATGAGGACAAGTATATATTGAGTAAAATTTGAATGTCCTTCTATACAGAGGATCAGAGAAGATGCAGTTGTTGTATTTGGTACAGGCTTGTTTGGTCCACTGTTGCGTGACCAATTGAAATTTGAAACTCAACCAATTTAAATCTTCAACTTAGCTGTGTAAAATTTTAAATTCTTATCGTATTGCTGCGCCACGGTAATGTATGTAATGGTGACATGTTGAATAAGAGTTTTCCATATTATTTATTTGAATAGAAGTTTATATTTTAAGGAGAAAAATTTAAAATTGTAAATTGGATTATGATTTTGATGAAGAAGTACTAATACCTCATTTCAATTTTAAGTTTATTTAAATAATAAATTAATCTTTTATAAAATTGACTAACTAAATTATAACGTGGGAATCCATACAACTCTGTACACAATTACCTATACAGCTAGGCTTAGGATTGTCCACTTATTTCCCAAATTTACCATTTTAAAATGTAGGCGCTATAGGGACCAGCTCAACAAAATTTGGTTGCGTTGTCTATATCAATTTGCTAATTACATTCACATCTTGAAATGGTAAAATAATGAAAAAGCTAGCAAAGCTACCTGGACTTGACTCAAGCGTGAATAGGATGGACAGAGTTTATACGTATGAGAGGAGGGACCAGAGTTAATTACATTCTCCCAATTCTGACAATCTTGGCCTGTGATAAACGAGTTTTTCTCTTCTTTTTTTTTTCTTTTTTTCCTTTTTAACTACGTGCTGTAATGTAATAATGAGATAAGATGTTGCAAAGTATGTTCATGGATTTAGAAACCCATCCAACCGTAGTCACATTCGTGTTTTTCTAACCACACAATAATTAATTTCGGAAGCATGGGGGTGCTGATGGCCATAAATGTGTACACATTTTACCACACCCCCACAGAGATGTAAGAATGTACTGGGAAAAAAAATATGGATAGCAGTATTTTAAAGCGAGTTTTTCAGGTTTTCTATCAAGTACACAAGTTAAGGCATACACTCGCATGCTTAATTTATAGTATAATTTAATTTTTTAGTCGTCAAAGTTGAATGGATGGTACACCCTTAAAGGAGCTTTTTCTTAAAGGTAGAACCATTTACTAAAAGAAAAATAAAGCTCAAGGAGTTTTATGCACGAGATTAGTTTCCAGGTTAACACATTACTTTAGACTGTCAAAAACACAAATCACGAGCCCCTGGAAATGGGCAAACAATCACATTAATGCAAATATTTTCACGGTAGAAGGTAGACAATTCGATTCAATGTATGACCAAAGTGAAAAAGTTGGAATACAGATGGAATAATTAAAATTGAAACAAAGCTTAACTCATATGGACTGCTTTGAGAATCTTCCTCTACGAATATTGTTCAACAGCAAAAGACGGTGTCTGATAAAGCAAAAGAAAATGATAAAGACTGCCTGAGAATTGAGCAAGAAAGCGAAAGAAGCTGGTAACATCACTTGGGCTTTGGAAGCACCAAACCTCGTGGTTGGTTCTTCCATAATCACGTTCAGACACACAAGGAGACACGCGCGGGGCTTTCATCAGAAACATAACCAGAATAGCTTTATTTATTCCCAATTCACTGTCTTCTGCTCCGTATATATTTTAAAAAATTACATATTTCCCTTTTAGATTACCATTTTTCTTCCCTATGCTCGATTCATTTGACCAAGACCGTAGGAAATAGAGCGAAGCTTCCACACATGCCGTAACATGAGGAGGGAGAAAATTTATAATTTTCCCTTGCAGACACAATGAATAATATGATATGCTCACAATTTAATAATTTGGTTGTTATAGTATATGCACATTCACTCAGTATTTATAGACAATTTCCCGAGTCTCGACTTCATACTATAATTTGATAAGAAAACTTAATCAGTTTAAAATTAAAAAATGTCAAGTCAAATAAGAATAATAGAGGCACACTAGACTGCTGTGCACGCAAATTAGATAGAATCACAGAATTGCATTTAGTATTTTAAAAAAATCGATAATCACTGTTCTTACCATACCATTTTTCTTTGCACATAATTTACCCAGATATAAAATTGGGAGAATATCAAATATCATATTCTCGAATGACAAATGGAAGTAAATTATGGCTACTATTTACAAGCAGACAGCAACTCCGAAAAAAAAAAAAAAAAAAAAATATATATATATATATATATATATATATATATATATATAAAGTGTAACATATATAGACATCACGAGCATTCATTATCTGACAATTTCATTATCAGGAGCACTGACAAAATAATATCATAACACAACCGGAAAACATACAAAAGATGTTTGGTACATCAATATAGACTGACTGAGTATTGTCCCTGTAACCCTACTGCATTATCTCGGCAAAACAACATCGTTGCCTTTCCAAGCACATAACTTCCACACCATGTAGAAGCTGTTAGCACCAAACTGGCTTTGGTCGATGGTAGACTGTTTAATATTACCACCATCGACACTTAGATATGTTGCTAAGTAACAAAAGTTTAATGGGTCCACTATACCAAAGCTTCACCACCTTACCTCGTTTATGGAAGGTAAACTAAAATTAACCTCCAATTGCTCTATTCCGAATTGGAAAAACGAGCTCCAACTCCACAGTTGGATTCTGCATTGAGTATAAATATTCACTCAGGTGTTCATAATACCCGTGAATTTTTATGCTCTATTTACAGAACTATATAGAGGCATAAACAAACTTCCACAAAGAACCAACTGAACCCCCTACTCTAACATCTAAACGTTAGTAGTCAAAAACAAATGACTTCTATTAACAATTGCCTTGAATTGATCCTACCCCCATCGTTAGATTTCCATCTTCCAGATCATGTTATCAATGCTGCAGTTATGTGATTTCTCCAGTGCAACAACTTTGGCTCGGTGTACTGCTAGTGAGTTTTTTCCTCTTTCATCCTGAGGAAGTTCACAAGCTTCACTAACAGAACCTGTCCGCAAATCAGCTGGGGGAATGAAGCAATCTACTGAAAGACCTGGAACATTAAAGGCAACCTCTTCGATCGTCCAGGCCTCTTCCATTTTTGTTTTAGTGTGGCTCATGGCCATCTCCCCAAACCTGAAAAGGGTTACCACAGAATGCCCCGAATGGGCAATCATTATACCTTCCACAGGCTTGTAATCACTGAGGAATGAATTGATTGTGGTTTCCCAATAAACTGCATCACCGCCATTAGATTGGATGCGTGTCAGATGAGAGTCCTCAATGTGAACAAGAAGACCAGTCTTCTGGCTAAAGTAGCCAAACAAGACATGCCTTATGATTTCAGCAGGACCCTCACTCCGAGCCTTCAATGTTTCAGGGTCAGTACAAAGCTTCAGGATGAAGCAATCCTCACCATTGATGTTTTTCTCTCCTATGCATCTGGCATCAGCGAACATACCGGCAGTGGTTCTAGGATCAATACCCTGATTAAACAAACGTACACACTTAAAAATTACAGACAAAAAGGGTACAAACAGCACATGTGCAGTTGGGAAAAACAAGCTCAACCTGAAGAGCCCGCCGCAAAGGCCTCACTGGTCCCTTGGCCGTGTGAGCACCGAGCCAAGGCGTGTGCCTCCAGACAAGCTTGCCATTGCAGCCCGCATGAACCTTGCTGCCACCAACTGCAAGCTCCACATACCACATGTCGGGGTTCATCTGCCAGAGCACAAATCCGCCAGACTCTGCACACCTAGAAGCATTCCGGTTCTTGACTACCTTAGTCGCAGTTTCAAATTCAGAAGCCACCATTCTAACCTTCCCCATCGCATAAGCATTTCTTATAGAGTTCTGCAACTTTAGCCCCCCAGACGCTGCTGTGTATTGCTGCAATATGTATTGGGCAGAAGAAGTTTCCTGCAAGGTTACCCATGAACAAAAAATAAAACCAAAAAGAGTTAACAATAGTAACTTAATCCATTGAACTTCACTGTTAACAAAACCAATTATTTATTCTTCAATTCTTAAAAAGAATTTGGTCCCCTATACTACAAAATAGTTTAACGCATCAATTTAAGAACATTATTTGAGTTATTACTAAGTAAAAACTGTAAACCGGGTTTACAGGCTTCTGTTTCGTCCCTATTCTATCTTTTTTTTTTTTTTCTAAATTATTTTCTCGGCAGGCACTCTTGAAGTGAAATTACAGAAAGGAGGCACGTGACTGGGTGTCTCCCTGGTTAACGATTTGAGCCAAACACTTAGAACAAGAGATAAAACTAGAAATCGCAAAGTGAATCTTGCACGGGATCAAAAAACGACAAGGAGCATAAAAACGTTACATAAGTTACCAGAAAAGCCATATTCTGAGTTGCTGAAGAGAAAATGACCAAAAATCCAAAGCACAAGCATCCAAACAAAAGAAAGAGAAAAGAGAGAGAGAAAATGAAGGAATTCATTCACAGTAAAGTACCGAAGAAACAGCAAAACACCAAAGCATGTTTGAGAAAAGGGGAAATTGGAGAAGCGTGAGGACTCACAATGGGAGTGTCTTTGATGCTGAGATGAGGCAAAGGGTCGGTGGCGCACACGTGAACGGGCGCGAGTGGGGCACCCATGACGCCGAGAAGGAGTCTCAGATCAGACCTCTTGTAGGACACGGACGGCGCACGTGACAGCTGGCCCTTCATCCAGTGTCCGAGTCCCGACCCGATACGCTTCGGATCCCCGTTTTCAGTGCCGTCCGGGTCGGGTCCCTCGATGAGAGGCGTGAGGGTCTCCCCCAGCGGGCGGAGACTGACGGATCTCGCGACGGAGGTGTCCGGGTTGTGTTTTTTGCGGCGGAGGAGACCCGAAATGGGAGAGGCAGTCCGGGCGGGGCTGGCGGAACGAGAACGAGACGGGGAGAGGCCGCGTACGACCTCGTCTTTAAGAGCGGAGAAGAAAGACTGCTTCTTTTCCATTTGAGAGGGAGTAAAAGAAAACAAAACAAACAAACAAACAAAAAAACAGAGAAGAAACCACTCCTAGGAGGCTAAGGAAGAAGTGGTGAGTGGTGAAGAGAAGAGAGAAAGAGAGAATTTCATAGATAGCAAGAATGAGAGAGAGAGAGAATGAGAAAACGGTTTTGGAAGAGTGGGAGGTAGTGAGTTTTGTTTAGAGCAATGTGTGAGGGTGCGTTGGTGGGCGTACGGTATTGCAGAGAGAGAGAGAGAGAGTGAGAAAAAGCGGAAACAGAGTGAGGGAGAGAGAGAGAGAGAATGGTATTTTATTTGCTGCTTTATGGGAAGGCTGAAAGGTTGTGATAATATTATATAGCTCTTTTTGGTTAGTTGCACTTGCAGTTGCAACTGCGGAATATTTACCTTTTTTATTTTCTTTTTATTTCGTACACATATGGATTTCATTTTCATCAAATCCTATTACCATATTTTATTATTTAAACGCACTTTCTCACTGTAATTATGGTACTTGTTGGAAACATACGTTCCCTCGTTTAGTTGTATATGTAAGGGATTTTTTTAATTCAAATAAAAAAAATGTATAAAGAGACGTTATAACTCTTATAATTAAGAATTGCTTTTTTATTAATCCACACGCTATTCAGTAGTAATTCTCAGAATCAATTGATAAATAAATAATCTACAAATATCTGTAAATGAAATTATATATATATATATATATATATATATATATAAAAGTTGTACTGATTTAGTTTGATTCATATTTTTAAATACAATTTGTATTTTTAAATAGATCGTATTTTTATTTAATTTAATTTAATAAGTTATTTTTTTCATTTATAAAAAATAATTTAAATAATATATATTTAATCATTTTACGTTACATTAATACAAATAAATTTAATTTTAGATATAATCATCTAATAAAATAATATTATTTTTATAACGAGCCCAAATTGATTAAATATTCAGATTTAATTTCTTTTTTCTTTATTAATTTATCTTGTTTTACAGTTTTTATATCAAACTTGTTTCACAAAAAAAATTAATCATGATATTTGTTCTAATCAAGGATGAAAAAGAGAGTTTACATATAATACGAGTATTATAAATAATGTTAATTAGGGATGACAAAACGGATTAGATCCGCGTGGCCGATCCACCAGCCTGTCATAATATAGCGGGCGGGTTAGTGTTTTCGATCCACCAGCCTGCTTGGCCCGCCCGCTAAGTCCGCTAACCCGACGGGTCAATCCGCGGGACGGAGCGAGCCGACTCGCGACCCGCCTAATTAATAAAAATATAATTTTTTATTGTAATAAAATTAATTATAAAAATAATATATAAAGTTAAAAATTTTAAAGAGAGAATTAAAAAAGTTTCACTCTCACAAAAAATATTCTCCCTACTAAACTATAATCTTCTCTCCTGTTCTCTTTATTAATCCTAAGCACTCGATTATTTTTATCTTTATGACTTGAATTAAAGGTGTAAGAATTACTCAACCAAGAATAATATGAAGTTTTATCAAATAAAAAGACATAGATATTTGAAATTTTCAATATAAAAAATATAATTTTTAACGTTAAATATATATATATATTTGTTATTATTTATTATTACGTAAATTTTATTATTGTTCTAAATTATAATTTCTTAAAACAATGTATTAATTTATATTGTTAAATTAAAATAATATATATATATATATATATATATATATTGAATTATTGACAAACAAATAATAATCTTATTATTAAATTTATTAAAAAAAATTATTTTAAAAAATATTTTTCTTTTTCTAAATTATGGCGTGTCACCCCACCAACCCGTCCCTTGGGGGTGGGCCAAGGTCTACAGTCCGTCATGACTTTAACGGGTCAGCCCGCCCCGCGCCCACTTTTAACGAGTCAAAGGCGGAGGGGCCAAAACGGGACGGACTAACCCGTTTTTCCATCGCTAATGTTAACTCCAAGAGAGTGTTAATGTAATTTGTTGAAAAAAAGTTTACATGTACTACGAGTATTATAAATAGTGTTAATTTTCCAAGCTTTTTTTTATATAAATATAATGAGTATTACAAATTTGAAATTTTTTTTTGTAAAAGTTTACAATTATTTTAAAACCAACAAAAACATTTTTAATAACATTTAGTTAATGTATGGTTAAAAGTGAGTATATATACATATACATATATATATATATATATATATATATATATATACATTAAAGGATGGTTACATGTATAACTAAAGCCTAATTATTATTGATGTAAATTAGTTCTATTATTGTCATTTATATTTATCTATACTTTTATATTATATGTATATATAAAGTTTTTTTTTAAAAACTTTTTTTCACCAAAAAAACAAAAATAAAAATGTATATTTTATATTATGTATAAAAAAGATGTAACGTTATTGATGTAATCAGAAAAGAGAAAATATCATAAATTAAAAAAAAACAGTCAGAAAATATTATAAAAAAAGAAAAAAATAAATGAAATATACTGTATTATATGTATAAAGATAATTTATTTTTTAAATATTTGTAAATTATGAAGAAAAATATATAAGTAATTTATATTATATACAAAGAGAAAGAGTGTAACCATTTTTGTATTATACGAGAAAAATAAAGAAAGAAAGAAAATACGAACAAAAAACAAAAAGTTGTTTATATCCACAACTATACTTACTAAAAATAAAGTATTATATTTTAAGGAAGAATAATTATTATAGTTTATATATTGGCAAAATAATAAAAATATAATTAAAAATTGATATATTTAATAAATAAAAAGAAAAATAAAATAATAAAATATATTTTAAATAATATTAATTCTTAAAAAATAAACACCCAAACGCTTTAATATATGCATTTCGTGAATAACGAAAATTTTAATTTTTTTAATATATTTGCTTTATGAAAAAAATATCACATCAGCAATTATATAATGTATAAAGGAATATAAATTTTGTTGTTGTAGAAAATAAAAAAAAACGAAAAAAAAAGGATAACAATTTTTTAAAATAATATTAAAAAAATGTAAACATACACAAATTTAACTACTAGTAGATTATAATTGGAATGGTGGTGTTTCTTTAAAAACTTATACAAAATCTGTAGCCAATATTCTGTCGTGTATGGTAAAAAGAAAAAAAGTATAAATATAGATAGATATTTAGTATGTTTTTCTTCTATTTATTGAATATTTGAATTAATTTAGTTTTTTTTAGAATATAAAACAGTATTTGATATGTAGTTTAAATTTTAAATGTATATTTAATCTTTTTAATATATATATATATATATATATATATATATATATGTATATATATTAAATTATGAATAGTTTTAAAAATTTAGGAAAATTTTAAATCCATGACATTCAAGGGAATCAAATGGAACGGGTTGAAAAAAAAAACGGAATAGACTATTTGTTTTTAAAAAATATTGGATGCTTGTTCAGTGAGAAAACAAATAAAAAGAGTGCTAAATCAATAATTTATAACACTTCCGAAACTTAAAAATAATTAACTCCTAATTTTTCCGACTAAAATTGTATTTATGAAAAATAATATTCTATAAGAAATTTTACATGTAATCTTAAACAATTTTTCGGTATTATTTTATGGATAATATACTAGATTCCCTTATAATTAGAAAAAAAATGTATAAAATTCAATGATCTGACCTAGCCAAACACACAAAATGTTCCAGTGAAAGTGTAGTGCTAATGATGTCAAACGTTAATGATGGATTAATGACTTAAAATTCTATAATTAATGATTCTCAAATGAATGCATATTGTTTTCGAATATTTTGAAGTGCTTGGAATGCCTAATGAGTTTATTTTACGTAGGATTATGTTGGTCATGGGCAACCAACTTTCTCATTTGCACCGAAAGCACGGAAGAAAAGGGTGGCTACAAATTTTTTATTCAAGCATGAGGTACCCACGAGACATATTTTATGGTAATGTACAGTACCAATTTTTGCTATAAATTGGTCTTCTTCCTGCAAGCATAAGCATTTCATCCCACACAAAAATATTACTTCTCTTAGAGAAGAAAGAGTGGCACCAGCGAGAGGCAGAAAAACTAGAGAGTTTTAGTTTAGCTTCTGGGTATAATTGGGTTGTGAGTTGTGAGTGTTTTTTGAGAGTGTTTTGTAAACACTTGTGTATTTTTTTTTTCTCCTACTAAGAGATCTGCAGTAGTCCGGAGACGTAGGCATTATTAGCCGAACTCCGTTATCAATTGGTGTGTGCAATTATTCCGCTTTTATTTCACTTTCACATATCTGACCATATGGGAAGATTCAACATATTTTTCCCAACAACTGGTATCAGAGCTGATTGTTAATTCTGTAAATTTTGTGGTATTACTATTCATATGAATAGTAAATTACTATTCTGTGAATAGTAAAAACGTAAATAGTACAAATTTTGTCGGCGCTACAAATTTGCCCGCAGTCGTGTTCTGAAACACGGTAGCTCATAGGAATTGTCAGAAACGATCCAGCAGATAAGTCAGATCAGAGTTGGAGTGATGGCTGCAGACGAAGGAAAAATGAAAATTGAAAGGTTCGACGGTATAGACTTTGGCTTCTGGAAGATGCAGATAGAGGATTATCTGTATCAGAAGAAGATGCATCAACCACTCACAGGGGAAAAGCCAGAAACCATGAAAGAGGAAGAATGGAGTCTCCTTGATAGACAGGCTCTTGGAGTTATTCGTCTAACATTATCCCGTAATGTTGCTTTTAACATTGCGAAAGAAAAGACGACCTCAGATCTCATGAAGGCTCTTTCCAACATGTACGAGAAACCATCAGCCTCAAACAAAGTTCACTTGATGAGGCGATTGTTCAACATGCGGATGTCCGAAGGTGCTTCGATGGCAAATCATCTCAATGAACTCAACACTGTAACAATCCAGTTGAGTTCTATTGACATCAAATTCGATGATGAAGTACAGACTTTAATACTTTTGTCT